ATGCTGATGTTGAGTGGGGACCTCATCCCAAATGATGAGTGAAGTCTGTTGGAGCAACTGATGGTTAAGATCATCCTTCTTGATGCTGCAAGAGCTCCCCTCATGACAGGGAAAATAGGTATCTTGAAACAGGAGCATGCAGTGTGACCACCAGGGAGAACGAGAGAGGCCAGGCCTGTGGATGCAACACAGAGGACAATCTTGTTTCTGGCACAAACAGAAGCAGCAATGAGCTTGGCAAGGTATGTCTTTCCCCATCCTCCTCCACTGTGCACAAAGAATGAGGACCCAACTGGCTGTTCCACAGAAGCAATGACTCCATCATAGAGTGCCCTCTGTTCTCCATTGAGGGTGGGAAGACCAGCCTCCACCAAGTGATAGAGATCTTGCAGGTCATATATGCTCTCTGCTCAGCAATGAGGTGGTTCCCTTCATCAATCTGCCACTGCCTCTGTGGCCTGGGCATAGTGGGGAAGTTGTCAATAGATTGTCCATTCCTCCTGAGATCTTCTGTGATAAGATGAAGGCCATAATCAAATATTTGCTCTTCAGATGGATTTTCAATGTGGAGATTGTGGATGAGGCAGTGGTGCAAATCATCACAGAGGTTGACTCTGGACTCTTCCCACAAGACATGAGGGTCCACTGGATGACAGTGAACCAGAATTGTGACAAAGAGATGGCACAGTTGAAAGCCAGTACAAAATGAGCAGCCTCCTGCAAACATTGCAACCACTCCTTGTCATCATCCAGAAGAGCCAGAGCATGGCAAGTCTCCTTGAAATTTCCATGGATGTGACCATTCACAGTGCAAAGATCTTCATAGGATGTGGCACCTAATGAAAAAGGTGGTTGGAAAATCACATAATTTGGAACATCAAGAGCATACCTTTGACAGCAGTGAGCAGTAGACACAAACAGAAGCATTCTCCAGCAGTTGGGGGAATGGAATACATCCTTCCAATGGCTTTGTACCTCTGATGGCACTTCCACTTCCTTTTACCCTTCACCCACACAAAGTTCTTGGGGAAGTCCTGGTAGAGGTGGTCTTTTGCTCCAGCTGCAATGAGCTCAGGATCTGCATTGGCCTTGAACCATCCAAGAAGCTGGGAGTCCTTTGCATTCTCAATGACATCTTTGAGCTGGTCCTCAGGGTTGAATGCCACAACCTGATGATCAGGGAGATGGACTGGCAGATGGTAGACAGCTGGCCATTCCTGATGCATGGGAAATTCAAAGATGTTGTGGCAAGCTTCATTTGAAGAAATGTACCTGGCATCTAGATAGGAGTGAATCTCATTATGGCCCTGAGTCTGCAAGGTGGCATGGTCTGGACCCTTGTAGATATACTTGTGGATGTACTTGACAGCCTTGATGGATCCACAGACTTCCAGGTTGATGTGACAGTCAAAGAGCACCAGCAGTTCTCAAGGATGAGGGACCACATAGGTGTTGTCAAAGGTGACACCATTCTTTGCCACAGTCCTTTGATTATCAGGGCAAGCATACTCTGGATATCTATCCTCCTTTATAAGAGTCTCCTCATGGAATGCCTTTGGGAACCACTTCTTGCAGAGATTGTTCTCCATGCACCTCTGTGGACTACAGGGACCATGGAGCATGCACTTGGTAACAGCATCATAGAGCTTGGGATAGAGGACAGGGTCTGGGATTTGAGCTGAGATGATAGCACCAATCTGCTCCACAATATGAATCTTGTCATGGTCCTCAAGGAAGATGAGGAGATGCATGTGAGGGAGGCCACACTTCTGATACTCAATGGTGTAGACAAAGCCTGCCACAGCTCCAAAGTATCCATCACAGATTTTCTTCAGCAAGGCCTGTGACTTGGCATGGAAGACTCATGCCACCAGGTCAGGTTGATCCACAGCTTTCTGCCCTATATATTGTCACAATAGTAGACAAAGTGAGAAAATGAGGGAGTGGCAAGAAAAATAAAATTATAAATATACCTGGAAATAGATTATCTGCAATTTCAGGCCAGCTCCCATTTGCAGTCATGGTCAGGAAGAGATCAGGTTTTCTGTACTCCTTGCAGATGGCCAAAGAATCCTGTAGGAGTTGCTGCATGTATCATGCACTGCCCTTGTGGGAGGAGGGAAGGATGACCATGTGACCAACATCTGCCATGTCTGCATGATGATCATTTGCCAATCTATCCTGAAGCCCTCCATACAATTCAACTCTGAGTTTTTTCTGGTTGTTGGCAGCCCAAGTGATGTTGGACTGGTCAATAGAGGCCCAGGCATTACAGACCAGCTGCTGAAAAAGTCTCCCACCATGGAAAAGATTGGCAGGCTCTATATTGAGAGGGCGGTGTAGGAATAGGTAATAGATGTTACCTAGAATTAGTAATTGTCAGTGATGAGTGAGATTTGTGCTTGGCCCAAAAGGGAGGTTCTCACTGGAGAAAAGAAGGGTAGTAAAAAGGTGAAAAATGCAAACCAAAAAGAATACTTAGCTTTGTTTGTCCAATACCTCTTGCCAGTCCTCCTGGCCCTTTGGGTACTCCCCAAAGTAATAATTCTAACTTGCCAAAATGTGAAATGAAATCAGCCTACTACTGAGGGCCTCTGACATAAATTGCTTCAATGGTAAACTGAACTCACATGAACACAGCACACATGCTTAGTCAGCAATGCAGCTGCTCACCACTAAGTCCAGTGGTACAAACATGAAAACAAAAGCAAGAAACAAAACACAAGTCCCCCAACCCCTATTCTCTTCCAACCAAGACGACTTCTTGTAGGGAACTCAAACTTGTTCCCTACATCCGAGGGGTGGTTTAGAACTCTACCATCCCCGGTTGCTCTCCTCCTCGCACAGACGCCCTTGTCCTCGCATCTGCTTCCCTCGACCTCGCTGCATACCCTTACCCTCGAACCTTCGTGCTACTCGAACACGACTCCCTTCTACCCAGAACCACCACCTGGCCTCTCGAACACACACCCTGCTTCTCGAACTCCTCGCCCTCCTCGCAGATGACCCCTTCAACCCTCAATCACTCCACAGCCCCCAAATTCCTCGAACTGAACGACCAGAGGTAACCCTAAATAAAATGACTCTCAATCAGTTGTGTATTTACTATCCTTGTACACATGCGGCCTTGACTCCTTTTCGTCCTTAAGACGATCTAGTACAAGGAAAAACAACGAACCTCGAAATATACATCGGGGTGAGCCGGATCACCCAAGGACTAGTGCGACTTGGTTGAGCAACATCGCTTGAAGCAAAACTCTTTTCAAGAAAACTATATATCAACACGCTCACCAGGACTTTTGCTATACCACCCTTCTCATTCTTGTACCACCGACTCTCGGCACACATGCATGCTTGACTTCTCATACTTCGTCTGGTACTCCGTCAGGTGGCCGAAGCCCTTGCGCTAAGAGTTGCCAAGCGACCTCAAGTCACCCATCTTCATTTACTACTTGTTCACTGCTAGAAACAAAACATCTCGAAGTAGCACATGTTCGAACTATAATAAAAGCTGTCACCTTAAGTCTGTAGATCCTCAAACCCTCTTCGATGATAGGTCTTCGACCCCGACAGGTGCGGGCACTAAGTTCACTCGATCTTAGTTGCTGGCCTTTGACCTCGCAGTTGGGCAGACGGAGTCTTGACACTAAGTGCCAATGAATGGCTTCAAGCCGTCCACCCCTGTCGATCGCCTTCACCTTCGTGCTAGGGGCACTGTACTTCGCGGTAGAGCATGTTCAAAACGGAATGGAACTGGTCACCTTGAACCCACGGGCTCCTTTGCTGAGCTTCTCTTCCAGTGCAGCCATCCTCGGGTCCGCACCCCGTTGCGCTCGTCCCAACTCTACATATCGCTCCCATAGCGACCTTTCATGGCATGCGAGGTTCTCCCCTCCATCTTCGAGGGACTCTGCTTCTGCTTCATTTGACACCGGCCCCAAGAAGCTTTCATAGTTGATGCTTGTCTTCACAACTCGGTAGTCTCCCTCGATCATAGCTGACCAGTCGTGTTCGCACTCGTCGAATACCCTAACACTAAACATTCGCAAGTAACTTGTCACAAAAATGAAAGGAAACGAAGAGCACTCGGGCTCTGGGTGTGAATTCATGTCGCTTCGAACTTGTCGAGTGCTACTTTGTTTATCTGGCAGTTGATCCGCATCGAGGTGACTTAAAACTTCGCCTGTACTTCGTAGTCCTTCGTATATTCTAGAATAAGGCAGTCGTAAGTAAAGCGGCTCAAAGTAAAAACTGAACGTCAAGCTGCTGTGCTCGCTCTGTGTGACTCGGATGCTTCGTGCGTGCCACACACCCTCTCATCTACTCGAACTTGCATTGTCTTCTTCTCCTTCAGACTTCTGCAGTCGCGCACTGGGCCAAGCTGCAGTAGTTGCCATGAAACTGACTGAAGTAACGAGTTGGAAGTGGTTCCACACTTCGTCACATATCTTAGCACTGTAGACTCGTAAGTAAAATGTCATGAAAACAAAAGATGAAAACGAGCGCTCGGGCTTGGTGCATGAACTCATGTCGCTTGGTGCGCTCCATGCATGTCGTCGTCGATCTGTCAGGCATTCCCTCGTCGCAAACTTCGATGCATGGCTACACTGCTTGTCTACCTGAAACCCATCGTTGGGTACCCTTTCACTGTATCCTGCTCGCTCGCCCCATTCATAGTAGTACTGTTGAGTTGCCTCGTGCAACTTCGACTCTTCGGTCTGCTGTATCTCCTCGTCTGTCACTGTACTCCGTTGTAGATACCGGGTTTTCCTATAGTAACGCAGCTGTGAGTGGGACGACACAAAACAAAAAGGAAGGGATGAGCTGTCGAGCTCAGCACATGAATCTTCTGTGCATCTCTTCCATCGAAAGTTTGTTGTTGCTTCAAACGACCATCGTTCAATGACGAGCCATACCCTTGTCTCATCACGTAGCCATTCATATGTACCCTGTACCTTTAAGTGCGATGGTCTTCGCTTGTACTTGTCGTATATCCCTGTAAAGTCTAAGATACCGAACGCTTCTCCATTTGTGACGAAGAATGCTTGTCCATCCTTTCTAGGATGGACGACTGGGTGCTCCAGTTCATGTGGGTCGAATGGGGTATTGAACGCAGATAGGATGGATTTAGCATTGGGTGGGGGTGCGACATAGGGACTGAGTGGCTGCGCGGAGCTGCGTAACCCGCAGTGATATTCGGTTGTGGCGCATACAGGAGAGAAAGCATGGCATAGAAATTTGTTGAGCGTTGCTGTCGTGCCCTTGGGGTCTAGTTTAGGTTCACTCGACTTGGTAGAGTGGTAAGGCAGCACATTATACGCGTCGAACGGCTTGTGTGAATAGGATGTTCGTCCGTCGACCTTCACGATGTCGGTGCCATTAAATACGACGGTTCAAGTGCCTTTGATGCTGGCCTTGTAGTAGACGGAGGGGTCTCTCGTGCCTTGTGGCAACGAGGCTATGTGTACTATATGTATAGCGTCTGACTCGTTCAATATATCTCCCAATCCAAACGAGACACCGCTGTGTCTCTGCATGATATCCAACATGGAGACGGTGTCTCCCTTCGCCAACCACTCGATGATTCGTCGACCTATAAACTCGCTTCGATTGGCAGTAAGGTAAGTGTCTTCTTCTTGAAGGGATGTGGTCGCAGGTCGTCCTGATCCGGACCTTGGTACTGTAGGTGCGTCGACACTCGAAGGTTCGTTGATACTCTGTAAAAATTCGCATTCCCTAACATGCGGTGGCTGTAAGGAAAACGGTCTAAGAAAATAACTAAAACTTGGGCTGTAGAGCCCACTCGGTGTGGTCTCGATACTCCTCACATGTTGTGTATCCCGTCGCAACTTCAAATCTCGCCCTCGTGTTGCTATTCATGCTAAGTCTTGTGTGCAAGTCCACTGAGTCACTTTGAACCTGTTCCTGGAGGCATATCGTAGTCGTCGTACTTGTATCACTGTAAGTCGATGCATACTCTCTTCGAAGTTGTTGTCTACCCTAGAATAACCTTTCTGTGAGTAAAAAGTTGCGTGACTAAAATAAAAACTTGGGCCGTCGCGCTCGGTGCCCATGTCTGTCGGATCTTGTATCTTCAATGATGGCTGTTGCAGATCGAGCCGTGATCTTCGCGCTTGCCTTTCTTCCTCGAAGTCACCATCGTTGGTGTGTTTCCTGAGTGTGGTAAGTGGTCGCGATACATGGTGGGTAGACCACAGGTCGAATTCGAGTGTAGCTTGCTTGATAATGGCGTTGATAGCCTTGACCTCGACTGGTGGTGGGAAAGTCTTCTCCCTGTACGTAGTTGTAGTAGGCGCTCGTGTTGCGCTCGCCTGGATGTCACTCATACTTCGCTGTGTACATCCATTTTTCCTAGAATATCGTAGTTGTAAGTAAAACGTCTCAATACCGACATAAAATCTTGAGCTGTAGAGCTCAATATCTGCACTCGTCATGCCTTTCTGCCATCGAATGGCTGTTCTAGCCTCGCACAGCCTTCGATCTGTACCGAGCGTCGTCATTGTTCTTTGTACCATGGTTGCTGTAGTCGTTGTTATCCATACTTGCTGTAGCTTCTGTATGATACTAGGCAGCACTTCGTATTCCATGGCTTTGATCCCTCTCGCACATCATGTGTCTCGTTGTGACTCTCCGCACAACCCTTGTTTGTAGTTTGTTGTGGATTCTTGAACAGCGATTGTGGGGATGTAGGTCGTACTTTCGTCTTGTATATCCGTTTTCCCTAGAGTAGGATAGCTGTAAGTAAAGCGCTATGAAATCAAAGCAAAACCTTGAGTCATAGTGCTCAGTATCTGCATTCATCATGCCTTGTCTCCATCGAACAACCGATCCAGTGTTGTGTGGCCTTCGATCCACATCGGGTTTTATCGTTGCTGTTCGTACTACTGCCTATTGTGCAGAGGACGGGCTATGGTAGAAGAGCAATAGACAAGAGTACTTGCCTTATACTTGAGTTAGTGAGTAGGTTTGATAAAGAGTTTGTAGGGGCTCTTGTTCTTGAGGGAACAGTAGAACAAATATAGAATTCAATAAGTAATTAGGGTCAAAATCCCTGAGTTTATATGCATGTTTCCATACACATGGACCAGTAATGTAAATGGAAACTGTTACTATGTATAGTAAAGAATAGCAGGGAATGCTATGGAATATGACGCAATATATGATGTCATTCTGACATCACTGTGGAGCTGATTGCTAAGGTAAGTCATGTGATGTTACATGTGTATCAAAATGTGTAAGTCTAGTCACATCTAGACGTCAGACATACTATAGTATTTCCAACACTCCCCCTCACTCTAAAATGGTATATTGACTAGACTGATTGACGAGCGATTTGTTTTGAATTTCTGCCATGTCAAAGATTTTGTGAGACCATTGGCTTTTTGTTTATCAGTTTGGAACATATTCAATACTGAACAAACCATCTTGTACACATTCACATACATAGTGCCACTGGACATCAATATGTTTGGAGCATCCATCTGAGACAGGATTCTCAGCTATGAAGTGAGCACCCATATTGTCACAGTATAATATGGTCTTGTCAACTTTGAGTTTAAGTTCTTCAAATAGCATATTAAGCCATGTGATTTGACATGCAGCATCACAGAGAGCCATATATTTGGCCTCAGTGGAAGAGAGTGTGACTGTCTTCTGTTTATGAGAGTGCCAAGAAATGAGGGAATTGCCAAGGAACATGGCATAACCAGTGGTAGAATGACAAGTGTCTTTATTTGATGCCCAGTCAGAATCAGCAAATCCAAAGATTCACGACTCAAGTCCAGAATATTAAAGCCCAAGTTTTGGTGTCAAAGCAACATAGCAAACTATGTGCAAGGCTTTATTTCGGTGATCCTCAGTGGGATTAGCCATATATTGTGACATGTGAATAACCACAAAGGCAATATCTGGATGAGTTCCAAGTGCCATATAGAGTAAAGACCCTATAATCAACTGGTACTGGGAGTGAATTTGGGAAGTTGCTTGATATGATGTAGGACCTTTTTCCAGTTGATATCCCAAAGGTAATGGAGTGTGAACATTTCGAGCAGTCTCCATTCCAAATCTTTTGATGACCTTTTTAACATATGGAGTTTGATTGAGATAAATTTCTTTCTTCGATCGATCTCAGTGTATTTGAATACCAAGATATTCTTTAACTTCTCCAAGGTCACGAGATTCCCATTTCTTCATAAATTCTTCTTTCTTGGCTTTAAGAAGATGTTTGTCTGATCCAAGGAATAATCCATTGTCAACATAGATGAGGAAAATGACTATACCAGCTTTTGAAGAGTAGATGTATATGCCAGCATCCACTTTCGAGTGTATATAGCCCATGTGAAGGAGTGAAGCATGTAAGGCTTTATTCCATGCAAGTGCTGCTTGCTTTAAGCCATAAAGGGCTCGAAGCAGCCAATAGACCTTGTACTCTTGACCTGGAACTTTGAAACCTTCTGGTTGCTCCATATAAATTTCTTCATTGAGGTTGCCATATAAGAAGGCAGTTTTTACATACAGGGATTCCATTTCCCAATTTTTCTGGGCAGCAAATGCTAGTAAGATCCACACAGTTTCAAATCTTGCCACTGGAGAGATGGTATCTTCAAAGTTGATGCCAAATTCTTGTGTAAAGCCTTTTGCCACAAGACAAGCTTTATAGCGACCATCACTTTTGATAGCAAAAACCCATTGACACTTGACTGGTTTCCAATCTCTAGGAGGATCCACCAAAGTCCAAACTTGTCTTTCTTCAATAGATTTTAATTCATCTTTCATGGTGTTAAACCATTTCTTTTGTAAATTGGGAGACAATTTCAGAACATCTTTATAGTGTTCTGGTGATTCTTTTATGTGAGCAGTGAGAGCAAATTCAAAAGGATGCATCTCTGCTTCTTGATCCAGCATTCCTTTTGGAGATTCAGGAAGCAGAGGTAAGGGAGATAATGGAGAAGATGGAGTAGTTCCATGTGAATGTTCAGTCCACTGATGAGGAACTTGAGGAGGTACCAAAGCTGGTGGTAAGACCAGAGAAGGTGGTCTATGCTCCTCATCATAACATCTCCAAGCTTCTTCACATTCTCAAATATTATGCTCTGCATTACAAATCCACTGTTGTGCTTGATGCCAATTTTGTTGAATATCCCTTTCTATTTGAACTGGAGGTCTATCTCCATAAATGTTTCCTGGATGGGAAACAGGGATAAATCAACATTTAGGATGTGGTTCTTGATCTTCATTTTGTTGACTGTGCTCTCTGAACATTTCAGGAGTTGCCAGGAACAGAATAAGGAGTATGAGGATGACAAAGAAATTGAGGGTCGACTGATGGTGTAGCAGCAGGTGCTCTTCTAATTGGTTGATTTGAACCAGAAGCTCTAGGCTGGTCCGCAGCTTTTCCCTGCTGTGGGTTTGGTGGTTGTGATAATGGATGAGGTGGTTGCTGGTGATGAGGTGGTGGTTGGATCTGATCAGGATCTGGTAATGAATGAAGGCTTTCAGAGTTGGAAGAATCAGGTGATTTGGATGATGAATCACTTTCAGAACCAGGGTCAAAGGTTTCAGACTTTTTAGAATCTGAGCAGAAAGGAAAGGAGTCTTCTACAAATTTTGCTGTATGAGAAAGGATGATCTTTTGACCATTTAGGAATCTATATCCTTTAGTATTAGGCTTGTAGCCAAAAAAATACCATCTTGATAGCATGAGGTTCCAATTTGTCTTTGTGTTGGTCTTTAGGAACCCATACAAAGGCTTTGCAACCAAAGGTGTGAAAATAGGATACATCTGGGACTTTTCCTAAGAATAGTTCAACTGGAGTTTTGAATAGAATCTGTTTTAACAGAGTTCTATTGTACACATGCAGTGCACAATCAAAGGCAAAATTCCAAAAGTGTTTTGGAACACATGCATGATGACAAATGGTGCCAGCTTTCTTGGAAATGGTTCTGTTACATTGTTCTGCATGACCATTTTGCTGTGGTTGATTGGCAATTGATAATTGATGAGTAATACCATGTGTAGAAAGGAGTGTCTTGAAGGTAGAACCCATAAATTCTCCCCCTTGGTCTGAATGGAGTGCAAGAAGATGGTGACCAGTGGTGTTCTGGACAGACACCAACCAATTGGCAAAGGCAGTATAGGTGTTGGATTTGTTGTGAAGGTAGAGACAGAAACCATAAGATGAATAATCATCAAGAAGGGTAAGGATATATTTCGAGCAGAAATAAGATTCCACTGGTAACTCCAGTAAGTCAGCATGGACCAATTCAAGAGGTTTAGTTGCATGTTTCCAGGAGGGTTTAAAGGTTTCAGAAGACAATTTGCATTGTGCACAACCTTTACAGGTAGATTGCTCCCCCTGTATTTGTAAGTTGGGAAGATCCAATCATTGGAGATGATGGAGAATAGTTTGAGCAGGATGGCAAAGTTGATTATGCCAAAGCAACTCTGGCAAAATCCTAATCAGAGGGCAAAGGACCGCATATGTGTTGGTAGGTGGAAGTGGTATGCCCACAAACCAATGTAGCAGTGAAGTCAGAGAGGCTAAGTGCACCTCAAGGACACTCTGGCCATCTGGTGCTCGGATCACCTTGTGTGTAAGTGTTGCTGTGCTGTGATACCCATTTTTCAACAGTGCATTTCTCAAACATAGTCTCTTCAAGAACAAAGGACTGTATACAACATTATGGAGAGCAAGGTTATGCCCAGATTCCAGGTGAATAACAACTGTTCCTTCTCCAAGAAGTTGAACTCGACTTAACCCAGCAGTAGAGGCGAGGGAAGGAGTAGAAAACTCTCAGAAGGTAAGGAAATCAGTTTTAAATGGAGTCACATGGTATGAAGCTCCAGAATCCAACATCCAAATTGACTGACCTTTTGGTAGACTCTTAAATGATGCATGCACACCCAAAGGGTAGCAGTCAAAAGCATTGTATGCATTCCCATCGAACTCACCAGGGAAATATCCTGCAGCTGAGTTGTTAGGATCATACTCGGTATCTGGATTATGTTTAATACGAAAAGGTTTACATGGCACAGGTATAGGCACAGATTCGTGAAAGTCTTTTAAAGACATAGGGCAGTTTTTCTTTAATACACAGACAGATCTTTGGTTGCAATGATCATGTCCTCGAACATTTCTGGTAGGGTGACAAGCATTCCTGTCTGCCTCCAAAGACATCCCACCATTTCCCTCAACATCCCTAATTGCCACCATGTCCTTGTGAGCCAAAATGGGATCTGCCACTCAATTTGAGGGCAAGCTGGGACTACAAGGACATATCCTGTCCTTCCCATGAGTGGGAAGGGGAATCTGCCTCTGATGAGAGTTCAAAGTCTCCCATTCCCAGGGTTCTTATAGGGGTGAGACCACTCAGTGTAAAGTGAGGGCTGCTCATTGACATATAGAACAAGTGCAAGGCAAATTAGAATGAGGGATTTGTACATGAATCTTGACTGACTCAACTAGATCTAATTGATGGTTCTGAATTTCCTCCAGATACCAGGAAGCTAGTTGGCCTGTGGAAGGATCAACAGGATTATTGGGAGTTAACTCTACCAATTCCATTGCTGTTGTAATATCCTGATGTGTGAGGTCTGGATCATATGCCATGGTTTCACCAATTACATGGGAACCAATATATTGCAAGAGGTCATTTGAATAAACATTCTCAACCAGAGCAGGTTGCTTGGGAGAAAGTTCTGGAGTTTGTTCACAAGGTGTGTCCACAGCAGTGATGTTGAATTCATCAGCAGCATATTCATACTGTTGGTAGTTGGGAATTTCTTCCAGGTATGTGGATTCAACATTTTCTGCACCCTCGACTTTGACATTATTGGCTCGGTGTGAGTCAAAGTGAGGTTCAGTGGTGAAAACCAACCAAAACCAACACAAAAGACAATGAAAGCGAGTGGTGGTGTGCCTATGTGGTACCTAGATGGTAGAACCTGTTCTTTGGGAGGGTTTTTGCGAGCTACAACACTCAAAGATGAGTGCTGAGGGTTGGGGGTGCTCCTGATGAAGAGGGAGCAAGAATGTGATAGAAAGCGATAGGGTAGACTGCTGTCAGCCTACAGCAGGATGGATGGTGACTTAATTTGATGTCCTAAGCTGCACTGAGCTCAGGGAGGGCTTGGGGCGAAGTATATGGATGATAGATGATGATAAGCGAAGTAGATGATAGCTAGACCCTTAATAAAGTCTCAACTATTGAAGCTGATGAATGATTTACTGAGTGATGATAAATTGCGAGCAAGAGGGGCTCTCTGATGTCTTCTTTTTTTGCTACCTAAGTGCAGTGACTTATATACAGTACAGGGGCGTTGCCTATGGAAAACAAGGTGCAAACACTTGGTAAGTGATTGGTAACTGATGAGTAAGGAATGTAAGCGATGGGTAATCATCTTGGAAAGCATTGGTAAGCATTGGTAAGGATAAGTAAGCCAAAAAGTGAAGAATCAGTAAGCAAAGTCAAAAGATTGGTAAGTATTGGCAATAGGTGAGTCAAAGACAGTCAGAATGTCACAGTATGAGTCAAGCAATGTCAGGAACTGGGAAAGTGCACTGGAATCACATTAGGGGGAGGCTGTGCATGTCACATCTTGAAGAGATCACTTCTAGGCCAAGGTGGGATGACAGAGAGGCAGCACTGATCTGATGCCAATATAGTACATCCAAAAGCAGACAGGGTGAGTCAGATGTCAACAGGGGTCAAGCTTTGGGGGTCTGTGGGGTGACAGGAGCATAGGGGATTGCAACTTTCCCCCCCAAACCATCCCCTCAGTGAAGCAAATAAAAACTTCATGAACAAGGATCTGTTGGAAGAGAGGATGAAGGGGGAGCGTCTTCTGCTGTATCTTGCAACAAGGAGGCAAGATGTGCATCATACTCGTCATGGATGTGATCAGGGAGAGTGGAGAACAGTAGATTATACTGTAGCTGTCGCAATTTTGGAAGAATGATGGACAAGACTGGTATGAAGACGTTGCAGGGGGCAGGGAGGAAGGATCCATATGCTTCTTGGACTGGAGAGACTGAAACAACCACATAAGACCTTTCCAAGCGAATGACAGACCTGAGGCGACCAAAGAATGTCCTCCTGGAGGTCATACTGACAAAAAGAACATGCTGTCCAAGCTGGATGGGCTGAGAGGGGGCAGACGAGGGTGGGATGTACCAGGATGCTTCAGGATGGAAGCTGGTAGGAACTCCTGGTAGATATATGTAGCCATGGTCCCTAGCAAAGGGGACAAGCGAAATGACTGATGTGGAGGCAGCCATATCAGAAGAATTAGTGAAATGAGCGTCTTTTGGAGGGAGTGCTGTAGAAACGTGTGGAGTGCGCAAATCCTTTCCAATCCTGGAAGGTAGGATCGCATGGCTGAGCACTACAAGTGAGTGTGGGAATGGTTTCAGTGTCTGCAGAACTGGTGGAGATATGTCAAAAACCGGAATGCTGTACACAGGCACTTGAGAATTTTATTGGCACTTAACCTGCCTCCTCCTTTTTCTTTGGCACTGACAACCTGTTCTTGTGCAAGGGATGACTGCCGACATTGCTGGCTGTCCTTCTTCGCATGAGGGCTATGGTCTTCACCTCCATTCATCAGCTACATCCATGTCCACCTCACCAAACACCTTTGGTGTGTGACATCGGGCCTTGCCCTTACCACATCAGCGATTCTGGCTATGGCCTCAGCCACCAGAACCAGACTGTTGCTGTTGCTGGTTTTGCAGGTAAGGTGTATAACCACCACATCCACCACCTCTGTGTGAACCTCCATGACCTCTACCTCCATGATTTCTGCAGAAGCCAGATCCAGATCCACCAGGATTTCCTCCACAATGATCTTGAGTATTGTGCCTGCCACAGCATATTTGACAAAGCAGTGGCTTATTCATTCAAGCAAGGAGTGAGTTGGACTCCTGCTTAACCTTGGTGCCAGCAGATGTAGATGAATCCTGCTGAGGCAGGAGAGACTTTCTGGATTTATGACTCCAGACTTCTTTCATTCAAGGTATGACAGTATTGGTGGATAATTGATTGGCAGGAATAGAAGAGAGGATATTGATGGGAGCCTGTTCCCAGGCTTGGGACATGGAATGAACCAGGATGAGGGCTTTCATTTTGTCATTTAGACCAATGCCCTGGCCTTGGATAGTGGCCATAATCATGGTAATCTTGGAGATTTTAACCATGACATCATCTTTAGGTTTGATTTGAATGCAGATCAACTGCTGGAATTCCATAAAAGTCGTCATGGCAGAAGGTTCACCATATTTGGACTTGAGTTCATCCCACTTCTTTTTGGAAGTATCTTGTGTGTCAATAGCCATTGTGATCATTGGATCACAATATAGGGTAATTATTCCTTGAGCACATGTGTTGGAGGTATGCCACACTGCTGCTTGTGCCACATCAGCAGGTAAAGGAGTAGCACCACTGATGATATCCATAATGCTGAGTGTTTTGCATATAGGCTTTCATGAGAACCAACCAAGAGGCATAATTGACTCCATTGAGTTTTGGCATCTGTTTTGACAATCCTTTGGACATCTTTAGAAGTCCATTAGCAAGTGTTCATAAAGGAACGACTTGGTAGGATGAGTCAAAGCAGATGGAGGATTCAACAAATGATCCTTGTATTTGATTCTGATTCTGCAAGCAGAGGCTCTAGCAGATTGCAATTTCTGGTTACAATGAGGCTTGGGGATATATGGACAAGGATTATGCCATTCCTTTGTTTCCATAGTGCCTTTCCCAGCAAATCTCTTTGCAGAGATGCAAGAATTATTATGTTCAAGGAGGTCAAATTCTAAGGGACCGAAATAATGGTACCCAAAGAAACTCCACACTATGTCATGTAGTGGAAGACCGTTCCATGTGAACCCTAAAAAAGGTTTGGCACAAGTATATGGAAAAGGAAAATATATTTGATGATGGCAGGATCCTACAAGTCCAGATTGTACAATTATTTCAAAAGAAGTATAAGGATCCCCAATTATACAACTATCAGACACCTTGTAGTACCAGCCTCTGGATGCATATGGTACATCCATTGTACTGGGAAGAGGATAATGCTTGGCGAGTGGCTTGAGACTGGCAAGCTCTGGCAAGAGCAGTGCAAGGTGTTGGGAAGCCTCAGGGTTGCTCATAATAGTCGACATCACCTTTCTCCACAGCATGTTCAAGATCTCGAAGAATATCCTCCAAGGATGGCCAATAAGCATATTCTCGTCTTCCACTTGGGGTAACCCATCCAAGATGTCAGTTAGCTGATGAGTATCAGACACAGGTATCCATATCTCCTTCTCATTTAAGTTCTTGGGTAAAGGCATAAAGCCTTTCATCAAATCTATCTCTGCCAACTCTTCTTTCATGGAACCATTGTGGGACAGAGCAGATGTTGGTAGTTCTGTCAGCCCAAACTCCTTGGAAAGAGCATTCAAGATGCTCGTTCCAAACCCAAAGAGGCAGGATGATCCCACAGAACTTGGGACCATAGTGGACATGGGCATTGTATGTAATATAGACGAAGGTATCATGAGTAATGGAGAAGGCAGGGATGGTGAAGAGCAAAGGATCTTCATAGGTAAATGAGGGAAGGCCACAGCCATTGAAATTGGCTATGGCATGAGGAGATGAGGAATGCATTAGCTTGGGTACGAAATCAGTGAAGTAGCCATGATAAGTAACATGGATGCCAGGACAAAAGTAAGGTGAATCAAAGCCAGGAAAGTGGGGCATGAGTTGCCATGCTGTTTCCACAACTGAGAGTGGTACAAGGTAGGTTGCTGGGTTTGGCCTTTTGAAGAAGGCCATGGAAGATGGCACAGCCTTGCACCAGGAGCCACACTCACATACATACAGCATTTCCATAAATTCTATGATCTCTTTAACTGCATACTTCCTCCACTTTGGACCCTCATACATCTCATCCTGGTGTTCAGCAATTTGAGTTTCAAGATGCTTAGTGATGACCAAAGACATGCTTCAAGTAGATTAGAACCCATAACAAATAAATAGAACATGAACGAGATTTAAATGAGATCAAACTCCACGAAGTCATCAGGAACAACTGCAAGAATGAGCTCAGGATTGAGCATCTCATTGACCACAGTGACTTCCTCAACCAAAGGCATTGGAGTGTGATGAGGGAGAATGGGATTGACTGCTCCTTCCTCAGTATAGGGCAGTATGGGGTCTAAATCAACGTCAAAATCGACATCCGGGAGATGAAAATGGAGATAATGAGGTGGAGGAGTAGGTGGGTGCATAACAAGAGCTTGTAGAAGAGCTTGGTGCACAACTGCTTGTTCAAGCATTCATTGGCATTGGTGCCACCATGTGGAGAGACCTAAAAATGTCATCCAGAATGCTGTCGAGCTCACAAAGAGCTGACACAAATCACCAGGACCATAAGCTCCATAATAAAGTAAAAGAACTGACTGTTGACAGCCAGTGAGAAGCAACAAAACAATGGTGACTACTGCTAACTCTAGTGCATCTAGGCCTACACAATCCATAGTGATTTGCCTGTCAGCAGTGATCTAATCTATGCAAATCACATAAATAGCACATGCCTAGAAGGTGGGGCTCATAACCTATTGTGCAGAGGATGGGCTACAGTAGAAGAGCAATAGACAAGAGTACTTGCCTTATACTTGAGTTAGTGAGTAGGTTTGATAAAGAGTTTGTAGGGGCTCTTGTTCTTGAGGGAACAGTAGAACAAATATAGAATTTGATAAGTAATTAGGGTCAAAATCCCTGAGTTTATATACATGTTTCCATACACACAGACCAGTAACCTAAATGGAAACTGTTACTACATATAGTAAAGAATAGCAGGGAATGCTATGGAATGACACAGTATATGATGTCATTCTGACATCACTGTGGAGCTGATTGCTAAGGTAAGTCATGTGATGTTACATGTGTATCAAAACATGTAAGTCTAGTCACATCTAGACATCAGACATACTATAGTATTTCCAACACTGCCATCATTGCCAGCAGGTGTCGCTCCACCTCTTCGCCTTCACCCTCGAATGGCTCCTTCTCTTCTTCAATCTCGCACTGTGACATTAGTGCTCCTTTCCTCAGGTACTGTACCTGTTCTCCCCACTCGTTGTAACCTTCGACTGTACCAATCTCACATATCCATTCTGTATCCCCAGTCCTGTCGACACATAGTACTTGCACCATGCTACTCTTGCCTTCGTTCAGAGCTCCCGTCGCCACCTGTAGACGTTCGTTCTTCCTTCGTACTTCGAAATGCGACCCTCCTTGTCCGTAGTTATCGCGTACTCTAGAATAACGTAGCTGTGAGCAAAATAATACGAAATAAAGGCAAAATCTTGAGCCGTCAAGTGCAGCAATCAAGATCCTTTGGCTATCTCCCTGTTGAGGGACTTTTCTCGCCTCGAAACACCGTCTGTCAATGTCAGAACCCAGGGCCGTCGTACTTAGATTGCTCGGGTGTCGTTGTGTACACTGCATGACTGCTTGTAACTCATCGTCGGGCGCCTTTTCGCTTTGTCCAGCTCGCTTGCCCCATTCGTATTAGCACCATCATATCGCGTCACATATCTTCGCACCGACTCTCCATTGTCTCTTCTCGTAGGTTACTGTGGTCTCTCGTATAGCGATCGCTGGAACACCGGTCGCATCTTGTCGTAAATAACTGTTCTCCCTATATAAACCTAGGTGTAAGTAAAGCATCCTGAAGTAAATATGAAATGTCGAGCTATTGAGCTTGCTCCACGTGATCCCGATGTCTCTCGCATGTTGCATGTGCTCTCGTATCCTCGACGGTCACGATCATGGTTCCAATGGGAGTCTTGGTACTCGTTCCACAGTATGTTTGCGCGTCTTTTGTTTGTAGTCTGTCGTGGATTCCCACACTGCGATCGCACTTTGTCATAGATATCTGTCTGCCCTAGAATAACAAAGATTTAAGTAAAGCATCCTAAAACCAAACTGAAACCTCGAGCTATCGAGCTCTGCATCTGCGTCCGTTGCGCTTCGCCTCCATCGAATGGCCATTATGGCCTTGCGCAGCTGTCGATCTGCGTCAAGTCTTGTCGTTGTCGCTCCTGTGGCTGTTGTTGCCACCCATAACGGCTGTAGCTTCTGTATGCTACCCTGTCCACCCCATTCGTCGTGCCGCTCGATTATGGCGATCCTGCGTAGCTGACCTGTAATGCGAATCTCGTCAGTACGTAGTACTTGTGCGCACGCAGCCTTGACACGTTGAGCGGGCGCGCACCACTGCTTACTAAGCATTGTCGCGACTTCTGCAGAAGTCCCACTGATGCTGGGCGCACGCGTCGATACTCTCGACGGATTCCTGAATAAAACATGTATTGCTGGCACCGCGCGGTTGTGGAATATTTCGAGCACGAGGTCGTCTATCCTCGCTGTGTGCTTCAACATTTCGACTGGCAAAAATTCTTCTGGCTGCTTCCTTCGTGCGACAAGCCTCGATGGCTTCTCGATCTTGATCTTCTTCGCAATAACCTTCGTCTTCGCATATTCCATATTTCGTAGCATCCTGTATGAGTCAGTATTCCCTTCATATACTGACTTATCTGCCTTGAGACCGTTCGCAAGCACTTCAAGTGCTTCGCCTTCAACTCTTGTAGATTTCGCATGTCCTTCGAGTCTTTCTGTTTTGAATTCAAGTGGTACCTTCAATACAAGTGACTTGTCTGCCAGCTGTTGCACCTCTTTGGAACTTCGACGGTTTTCTCTTCGAGACTTCGACATCTTAAGCTGAAAGTGTCAGTAGCTAGTCCAGAAACTTGGCGAGAACAAAATGAAAAAAACCCATTGAGCGCTGTCGCTCGCCTTGAATTTGAATGGCTCCTTTGTCGTGAGTGGTTCTTCCACTGCCACTGGTTCGACTCACTCGAGCTTGGCTGCTTCCTGTGATTCCATAGTCAGTAGTTCACTTGTACCCAAAGTAGACTCTTTCATCTCGAAACATGGTGCATCTGCAGCCTTCTCAATGTAGTCAGTACTTGGGCCTTTGCTTGCCATCTTTTCGGGTGAAGTTGGTGGCTGTGTGTGACTCGCCAACACTGTCATTGGCATTTGCTCGTGGGAGGAACTTGGAAAAGGCTTCGTAGGTAGTTGCTGCTCGTCCAAACTAGATCCCTGGTCATTTTGAGGCTTGTAGTAGTCTTCCATGCTCGTTTGCGCTCGCTCTGAGTGAAATCCTTGGTGTAGTAGTTGCATAGCTGCATACATTACTTGCTGCATGGGCCATGGATCATCCAAATGTTGCCATTGATTGTCACATTGCATTTTCTGAATGATTTCGTGCTGGAATTCCTTGTCAAAGCTGTGTAAGTATAGGTCTTCAACTTTGTCAGCCTCAAGCTGTCTCGAGACCTGTAAATATGTTGCCAAGTCGAGGAAATGTAACCTGTAAATTGTTAGCTCCTCCTGTGAACAAACTTTTCTCCTTGCAAGATTGTCAACAAGATTGTAAATATCATCCCTCAAATACCATTGATCCCATTCCCTAGACCCAGGATATAAGCATGCAATGGCCACTGCAAACTCAGGCCAGCTCAAATGCTCCTCAACAAACTTGTACCAGGCACCAGAGCTTGTGCTGCCTGCAAACCAACATGCCCATTTGGCCCATTCTTGATCATCAAAACACTCCACTGTTGGTGTCAATGGTCATGTGTTAGGCATGCTTGTACTTATGGGACTGTTTACATTAGTTTACACCTCAGCACTTGTGTCTACAATGCTGAGGTGGGTATGGTAACCCCTGAGGACATGCATGTGTACTTACCTCCTGTAGTGTGTCCTGTCAGGTATTGTCAATGGTAGCACTTGTGTCTACAACACTGAGCATGTCCTGTCAGTTTTACAACAGGTTATGAGCCCTCTTCATCACTGATTCTGACACAACCCATCCATCTGCATACAGGTGCATATATATACTTTTAATGCATGTCTTCACTACCCCCAGCTGCTCCAGACATTGTTGTTCATCATGGGCAAATTTGATCATATCCCTGGGTTAACTGACACCTCCACCTTCTTTGCCTGGAAGACACAGGTGCTTCTGGCCTTGGATCATGAGGGCACATACAGTCATGTCAGTGATGGTACAGACCTGCTGGACCCTATCAAGTTTGCATCAGTAAAGCTGAAACCTGCAAATCCTGCTAAGCTCACAGATGATGAGCGGAAGGTGATAGTTGATTGGTCTAAGGCAGATGCTGTGGCAAAAGATGTTTTATGTTGATGTTTATCACTGGCTGTTCTTCGTCTCATTCCCCAAGAGAGGTCTACCACTGCTTGGGATGTTTGGGTTGCTCTCCATGATAATTTCAACCATGTTGATGTTGGTTCATGGCACCTTGTACAGGCAAGGATCTTGTGCATGCATATGAAGGATGCTGGTGATGTGGCTCATTACTTGTCAGAGCATTCTGCTGCTCAGCATGACCTCATTCACATGGGGGCACCCTACTTGGATGAGGAAGCTATCTTCCATCTCATTGAAGGTCTTCCAGAGACTGGCACCTGGCCATCTTTCCACCTCTTCCTACAAAGCTCCTGTACTGTTGCAGCTGCTGCCTCTACCAGTACCTCTGTTTCCTCTGTGTCCAAGACTTCTGCCTCTACAACCCATTCCTCCATCTCTATGGCACTGTCCATGAGCTCAGTGACTTTTGAGAGTGTCTCAGTCAAGATTGTGGCTGAGGCTCACCATTTGGTCCAACAACTCTCCTTTTCATCCGTGGGGTCTGAGTACACTAATGCCATAACCTTGCCTGTTGGCCTGCCCAATGTAAACCTGGTGACAGGCCTCTGGAAGACATGCAACAATCCATCAGGCACCTACTGTGATACTCCCATTGGCAAGGGCCTTGTTTGTGGTGCTAGCAATCATGATAAGGCACACTGCTTCAAGCCTGGGGGTGGTATGGCTGGTCAATGACCCTCCTGGAAGAAGGGTAAGGGTGACAAGGAAAAGGACAAACTCACTTCAGCCACAGCGACCACTGCATCCACACCCACTGCACCTGCTCCTCCTGCTCCTACATCAACTCCAGTGGCTGCAGCAGCACTTGACTCTTCTGCAGCCTCTCCTTGGACCACACACTCTGTGGATCTTACTTGTGCGGTTATTACTGAGCTTGACAAAGGTGGGGATGCACCTATGCCATCACCAGCCTTACAGGCATGCCTTGGCACTCTCTCAGCTTCTAGTCTTTTGGACTCTGGCACTTCCTGCACACTGGTCTGCAGTCACACCTTCTTTCGAACCTATGTGCCAGACATGTCTGTGAATGTTCAAATGGCCAATCACAGACACTTACCTACTACTGGACATGGTGAATGTCTGGCCTTCCTGTCCATTGGCAGTGATAGGTATCGGGTGTGACTCACCAACTGTTTGCATGCACCACAGGCTGCGCTGCACCTCATCTTGGTTGGGTGGATGCTCTGCCAGGGCTGGGGTTGCAATTTCCAGGGACAACCTGCATGCTGTGAGCTCTCTTACCATGGATGTCTGTTGGGTGGTATACAGCTACAGTCAAACAACCTCTGCTTCCTGGACCTTGAGTTTGTTCACTTTGATGCACCCCTACCTCTCACCACCAGCCTGGTCCTCACCACCTTTGCTCGCATCCCAGTCACCTACAATTTGTGGCATGCCAGGATTGGCCATGCTGGCAGCAGGGTGGCAAGTCAACTGTCCTCGATTGTGTCCAGTGTCACTGTCAGCTCCTCCTGTCCACAGTCAATCTGCAAGTCCTGTGTGGTCAGGGAAGCATGCTCACTCACCATTCAAACCCTCCAAGAGCCATACCACCACCTTTCTTGAGCTTGTACACACTGATCTTGGGGGACCTATGCTGGTGCAGACCTTCCATGGCAAGTTGTACTTCATGGTTATCCTCAATGACTATACCCATGTCCTGGACATACATTTGCTTGCCCACAAGGACCAGGCTCTTGAAGCCTGGGAGATTACTTGAGCCTGCTGGGAACTAGCAGCATGGTATGATGGTCAAGGCTCTGCAGTCAGACAATGGGGGAGAGTTTCTCAGTAATACATTCATCCAGTCCTTGAACTCACAGGGTATTGCTCATCATTTGTCCACACCATATATGCACCAGCAAAACGGGGTTGCTGAATGGGTTATCTGCACATTAGAGGGACATGTCTTGGCCATGTTACATCTTGCTCAGCTCCCACTTGCTTACTGGGGTGAGGCAATGCTCACAGCTTCCTATCTACATAATCGCACAGGGTCATGTGTCTTACCAAATGGGATCACACCTACAAAATTTTGCATCACAAATGACCTGATCTCAGTCACTTGTAGGTTTGGGGCTGTCAAGCTTATGTGCATATCCCTTTAGAACTCCAGCAGAAGTTAGGACCCAGGTCCAGACTGGTATGCTTTATGGGTTATCCACTGGGGGTCAAGGCATATAGGGTGTGGGATGTTAGCACTGGGCAGTTCTTTAATCCTAGGGATGTCATTTTTGATGAAGATGTTCATGTGTTACCCTTCAAGAACACATCGACTGGTGGACCATCATCCACGGTTGACAAAGACTCAGGTTTGGATGAGGACTCTGATGACTCATGACCCCCATCCCCATTGCCCTCATCATCTCAGTCGCCCTCGATGCCCTTGACTGTGGTTCAACCTTCTGTTGCTGCTCCCCCTACTACTTTGCATTGTTCTGGCAGGACCAGGGTACAAACTGAGGTGGGTAAGGCATTCACTGAATCTCTTCAGGCAGCATGGGAATGCCTGGCCACACATTGTGCCCACTCTGTTTCTCCCATCACAACTGCCCCCTTCATCACAACTGCTTCTGGTCATAACACCCACTTAAGTGGCCCTCTTTCCCCATTAACCAAGCTGTCATATTCTGATCTCTCATCCTCTGACACCTCTGTGGGCCTGCTCTCTTCTGTGGTCATTGATTTGGTCATCTCTGAACACACTTGCCTGGCCCTATGAAGCAACACTCACCATGACCCAGCCAATCCCACCTATGATCTCTCCATTCCCCCTGCTACTTATGATGAGGCAGTCCATTGCAGTGATGCATCCAGGTGGAGGGTGGCCATGGATAAGGAAATAGATCAGTTAAGGTTGATGAATGTTTATAGCCTTGTTCCTCTTCCTCCCAGGGCTCACATGATAGGAAGTTGTTGGGTGTTGGAGTATAAAGAAGGAGATGGTAAGGGGGGGTCAGTCAAGAAGGCACATTTTGTTGCAAAAGGGTTCACTCAGGTACTGGGCAGGGACTTTGGGCAGACATTTGCACCAGTTGCAAGGCAGAGTTCCATTCAACTCCTTGCTGCCATTGCCACCAGAGAGGACTGGGAGCTGCACTCGCTGGATATCAAGAGAGCATTCCTTCATGGAAAAGGAGAAGGTGTATGTCAAACAACCACCTGGGTATGAGGAATATGGCCCAGATGGTGAGGAGTTAGTTGGGTTACTTCATTCTGCTCTCTACAGGATTAAACAGGCTGCCTACCACTTCTACAAAACACTTCACTCCGAACTCGAGGGTCAGGGATTCTGGTGCAGCGAGGTGGATCATGTGGTGTTTGTCTTTCATCAGTTAGAGGTTGTCTGCATGGCTGCCTGGCACATCGATGATGGCCTTGGTGGTAGCAACAATGAGCATTTCCTCGCTGAGGTCAAGCATCATCTACACCTCCATTTTGGTATCTCAGACATGGGACCTGTCACGAAGTACCTCGGCATCCAGTTCAAACACAATCATCACACTCATGAACTGTGGCTTCACCAGAGCAAGTACATCATCCACCTCCTCCAAGAGTATGATCTCATTGACTGCCACCTGGTACACCTTCCCATGGACCCCACCCATCCTTTTCTCACTGATGCTGAGGCAGCAAAACTGGTTGAACCCACTGACCTAAGGCTCTCTTTACCCAAAACTCATAGGCAAACTGTTATACCTCTCTGTTTGCACCTGTCCTGATATTTCCCTTGCTGTTCAGCATCTTTCACAGTATCTCTCCCATCCCAGTGCATGTCTACTTGGAGCCACAAAATGTGTCCTTTGTTACCTTGCAGGCACAGTTAATCATTGCCTTCACTATGGGGAATGCACATGCAGTCCTCTTCTGCATGGGTTCAGTGATGCTGACTGGGCGAACAAACCCCAAGGATCATGTTTCGGTGACAGGATATTGTTGGTTCTATCATGGGGGCATCATCACCCACTCTTCTAAAAAACAGACTACACAGGCCCTGTCCTCCACCAAAGCCAAGTATATGGCAGTCACTGCAGCCATCCAGGAGGGTCTGTGGATTTGGTCCTTCCTCCTGTCTGTGGGTTTCCCAGTGCTGCCCCCCACCCATCTTTATGCTGACAATGCAGGGGCGATTGCACTCTCACAAGAGGCTGCAAACAACCATCGCACCAAACATATCAATGTATGGTATCATTTTTGCTGTTCTCACATTGAGGCTGGAACTTTCCTGCTTGAGTGGGTTGCATCCTCCCATAACACTGCTGATGTCCTCACCAAGGCCCTGCCTTGTCCATCCTTCTCCTGTCATGTCACTGGTCTCTCACTCATGTCCTGTTGAGGGGGCATCAGAGGTCATTTTCAACTTGGAGGTCATTTTCAACTTGGGGGTCATTTTCAACAGTCACTTTGCTCATTTCTTGTTTCTGTTCTCTTTTCTTTTCTCTACACATGGAACTTACATTAGTTTGGACTTTCCTTTTGTCCCTTTGCATGTGTTCTGCTGTGGGGGCATGTTGGTGTCAATGGTCACATGTTGGGTGTGCTTGTACTTATAGGACTGTTTACATTAGTTTACACCTCAGTGCTTGTGTCTATGATGCTGAGGTGGGTACAGTAACCCCTGAGGACACACTGTGAGTCAAAGTGTGGTTCAGTGGTGAAAACCAACCAAAACCAACACAAAAGACAAACAGAGCAAGTGGTGGTGTGCCTATGTGGTACCTAGATGGTAGAACCTGTTATTTGGGAGGGTTTTTGCAAGCCACAACACTCAAAGACAAGTGCTGAGGGTTGGGGGTGCTCCTGATGAAGAAGAAGCAGGAATGCAAGAGAATGCAATAGGGTAGGCTGCTGTCAGCCTACAGAAGGATGGATGATGACTTAATTCGATGTCCTAAGCTGCACTGAGCTCAGGGAGGGCTTGGATTGAAGTATATTGATGATAGACAAGGATAAGCAAAGTAGATGATAGTTAGACCCTTAATAAAGTCTCAACTATTGAAGCTGCTGAATGAATTACTGAGTGATGATAAAACGTGAGCAAGAGGGGCTCTCTGACATCTTCTTCTTTGCTATCTAAGGTACAGTGATTTATATACAGTACAGGGGTGTTGCCCTTGGAAAACAAGGTGCAAACACTTGGTAAGTGATTGGTAACTGATGAGTAAGGAATGTAAGTGATGGGTAATCATCTTGGAAAGCATTGGTAAGCATTGGTAAGGATTAGCAAGCCAAAAAGCGAAGAATCAGTAAGCAAAGTCAAAAGATTGGTAAGTATTAGCAACAGGTGAGTCAAAGACAGTCAGAATGTCAAAGTATGAGTCAAGTAATGTCAGGAACTGGGAAAGCGCACTGGAATCACATTAGGGGGAGGCTGTGCATGTCACATCTCAAAGAGATCACTTCTAGGCCAAGGTGGGATGACAGAGAGGCAGCACTGATCTGATGCCAATATAGTACATCCAAAAGTGGACAGGGTGAGTCAGATGTCAACAGGGGTCAAGCTTTGGGGGTCTGTGGGGTGACAGGAGCATAGGGGATTGCAACTTTCCCCCCCAAACCATCCTCTCAGGGAAGCAAATAAAAACTTCATGAATGAGGCTCTGTTGGAAGAGAGGATGAAGGGGGAGTGTCTTCTGCTGTATCTTGCAACAAGGAGGCAAGATGTGCATCATACTCATCATGGATGCAATCAGGGAGAGTGGAGAACAGTAGATTATACTGTAGCTGTCACAATCTTGGAAGAATGATGGACGAGACCAGTATGGAGACATTGCAGGGAGCAGGGAGGAAGGATCCATATGCTTCTTGGACTGGAGAGACTGAAATGACCACATAAGAACTTTCCAAGTGAATGACAGACCTGAGGTGACCAAAGAATGTCCTCCTAGAGGTCATACTGACAAAAAGAACATGCTGTCCAAGCTGGATGGGCTGAGAGGGCACAGATGAGGGTGGGATGTACCAGGATGCTTCAGGATGGAAGCTGGTAGGAACTCCTGGTAGATATATGTAGCCATGGTCCCTAGCAAAGGGGACAAGTGAAATGATTGATGTAGAGGTGGCCATATCAGAAGAATTTAGCGAAATGAGTGTCTTTTGGGGGGAGTGCTGTAGAAACATGTGGAGTGCACAAATCCTTTCCAATTTTGGAAGGTAAGATTGCGTGGCTGAGCACCACAAGTGAGTGTGGGAATGGTCTTTGTATCTGCAGAAATGGTGGAGATATGTCAAAAACTGGAATGCCATACACAGGCACTTAAGAATTTTAGCCAGTGCTTAACTCACTCCCTTTCTTTTTCTCTGGCACTGATGACTTGTTCTTGTGTGAGGGATGACTGCCAACATTCCTGGCTGTCCTTCTTCACATGAGGGCTATGGTCTTCATCTCCATTCATCAGCTGTATCCATGTCCACCTCACCAAACACCTTTGGTGTGTGACAATGCATGTGTACTTACCTCCTGTAGCATGTCCTGTCAGGTATTGTCAATGGTAGTGCTTGTGTCTATGATGCTGAGCATGTCCTGTCAGTTTTACAACATCCACATGTTCACAAAGTTTTCAGACATTTTCAAGATACCTAAAAAGGTCAGTTGCACATCCCAAGAATTGTGGTGCATCACTCAAATGTCTTGGTGGCATTCTCTTGATCCACTTTGGTGCATTCTCATGGCTTCTTTATAAAATTTCCACAATCAATTTGCCTTTGGAATTCACTCTTGACTCATGTGACTTTCATGAATGTCACTCACCTGTCATTTTCTGCTCAAGTAGAAGACCTGAAAATTTCCTAAATTCTGAGTGCAGATTGCAGCAAAACTAAAAATTCTGAAAGACTTAGCTAATTGTTCTGAGCACTTGCAGTGATAAGGTGGTGACTTCTTTCTCTAAACAAACAGAACCCCCCTCACAGTGGGCTCCAGACGTAGGAATAGGTAATAGATGTTACCTAGAATTAGTAATTGTCAGTGATGGGTGAGATTTGTGCTCAACCAAAAAGGGAGGTTCTTGTCATATCCATGACTCTTGGACTCAATCCCAGTCCAGCCTGGACCCCTATCCCCTATGTCCAGTCAAGTCTGAACCCAGTCTGACCTAAGAAACCCAACTCTGGCCCTAAATAACCTAACTCTGGCCTAGATAACCCAAGTCCAGTGTTTTACCCCTATCTCCAGTCCCCTTTGGCCTCTCGGCCTCATGCTGCTCCACCCTGGTCCTCCCAGATCCATGTCTAGGTCACTCGGACATAACTCCAGTCTGTTCTCTGATGTTTGTGCTATATTTAGTTTGGTCCTCTTGCCTGATCTCTGCTTACTGTACAAACCCTGTGTCTGACTCTGGTTATGCTGGTCACCTGGACTTTGGCTATTAGTCTTGGCACAGCCTCTGTGGCTATCCACCCCTTGGTAATCATCTTCCTAATAGCTTACTAACATATCCAGCTTCATGTTCATTACTCTGGACTGGCCTCATGTATTTAACCCCTGTACATACTTCATAGCACTCCAGTCAGAATATCAACTAAGTATTACCCTCAACCCTGTACTACTCTCCAAGTCTACTCTATAGCTAAGGCCAAGCCTTAAGCTATCCCTGACCCCTGTCCTGAACCTCTCCCTGGCTTGCATAAGGGTACAGCATATAAGCTGAGACCAAGGGAGGTAGATCCAACCCCAGACCAGCTTCCCCCTGTGTGCACTCCAAGACCAGTTGGTTTCCCACACTACCAGACTTGTTCCTGTGCTCCTGGCCTTGACTCTGGACCTTCAGACTTCACCCCTAACCTTTGGCCTTGACTCTGGACCTTTGGACTTGGCCCCTGGCCTCTGGCCTTGACTCTGATCAACTGGACTTAGCCCCTGTCACCCAGTCTTGAAGCCTGGTCACCTGAGGGTAAACCCATACTTGACAGTTCTCACTGGAGAAAAGAAGTGTAGTAAAAAGGTGAAAAATGTGAACCAAAAAGAATACTTAGCTCTGTTTGTCCAATACCTCTTTCCAGTCCTCCTGGCCCTTTGGGTACTCCCCAAAGTAATAATTCTAACTTCAAAAACTCACCAAAATGTGAGATGAAATCACCCTACTACTGAGGGCCTCTGACATGAATTGCTTCTATGGTAAACTGAACTCACACTGTAAGTAACTGTTTTCTGATGGCCAAGAACTCCAACTCCAGAAGAGGTAGGTTCTGTTTGAGTCAGGTCAACCCTGAAGGGGCTTCAGTCTGGATACAGGATAAGTACTTTAGATGAACAAAAGGGAACTTGCCTGAGAGGAAATTTTCTAGACTGTAAAGAAGAACTTGATGAAAAAGGAGCTGAAGTGGTGATTTTTCCTCTCCAAAGCAAGACACAGAGAAGACAGTGATGCCTTGTACAGTATTCTTGTCCATGCTGTACTGTCCTCTCCAAGTGATGTCAGCTCTCCATCTTTCAACACCAAATTTCTTTTGGCCACAACCCCAAAGTCCAAATCCTCTTTGACCCTCACCCACACTCTCCACCCTCAAACCTTCCCTTCAACACAACAGAGGTGTGACTTCTCATAGGGAAAAGGTTTGCATTCCCTACAGTGTGAACACAGCACACATGCTTAGTCAGCAATGCAGCTGCTCACCACTAAGTCCAGTGGTACAAACATGAAAACAAAAGCAAGAAACAAAACACAAGTCCCCCCAAGCCCTATTTTCTTCCAACCAAGATGACTTCTTGTAGGGAATTCAAACTTGTTCCCTTCAGCAGACATGAAAGCAATATGCATACCAAAGAATCTGAGTGACTTTCTTGGCATGCAAATTTCTACCCCCTGGATTTTGTAGTGGAATGTCAAGATGCCAGCCATCCTCACCAAGAGGAAACAGAAGGACATAGTGCAGGCAAAGATAGGCAAGATGAAGTTGGCTGATACATTCCAGACCCCCACCTTGAAGTTGGAGGATGATATCCCTCTGGGCTCTAATTTCCCCAGATCCATCCCCAGGCACAATGGCAGCAATCTCCTCAGCAGTGGGAAGGTTGTACCTTTGGCCATCAGTCCCTGGCTGGAGTTGCAAACACACTCTCAAGTCAGTGTGTTCCTCTGGTGGTTTTGCCCTCATGACATCATGTGCCTGCCTGTACAAAGCAGTATATGGATGGTTTTCACTGAGGATGTCATGCAGACTTAGCATGATGGCAGGATTTAGTTGTGAATTGTGGTGAGTACATGTGTCTGTAGCTTCTTGAGGGCCATAGATATAGAGCTGAGTGTATGAGGGTTCTGCCCCATCATGTAGTAGGAGAGCACCACTGAGGTGATGAAGGGCACCATGGATGTGGAAAGAGGATGGTCCAGATCCCTGAACAGTCTGGGGGTCAGCATTGACACCCAAGGAAGTAAATGCCAGGGCAGCATTGTATTGTTGAATCTTCTCCCTGAACTGTCAATTCTTGAAGTGTGCCTGCAGACCTGAGGGCCATCTCTGTATTTGAGGGAGGTTAACCTGACCCTGAAGGCAGCACATGCCAAAGTCTGGTCTTGCATTACTGGAATTGCTGAGCCTTTCAGTCATGAAATGCAGAGCATGGCAGTTTGGACATTGAACATTCATTGGCCCAAGATAATGGGGTTCAGGAGGCTCAGTGTATGGCCTTCCACCAGGTGGAAAGCAGTGTGGTGGAAGTTGAATGGGAGGGTTGGGAGGTCCAGGAGGTGAGGGAGGAGGAAGAGGGTTGGCATTGGGGTCTCCACCAGGGGATCCAGGAGGAGGAGGGTTTGGTACACCAGGTTGACTGGGGAAGTCCAGATCATGGGCACCAGGATTCTGCTCAGCAACTCTTTGATGATGTCTTGCCTGATCTTCAGCATAATGTTCACCTGACAGTCTCCCAAACTCAACCAGTGCTTGGGATAGATGTCACTGCTGCTCCAGTTCTCTCTGTTGCTGAGCTTGTTGCTCCTCCTCCTGCAGGTGTAACTGCTGTAGTCTCTGCCTTTCTTGTTGTTGTTGTTGTTGTTGTTGTATAAAGAGTTGATGTCTATGATGAGCTTGCCATTGCTCCTCTAACCATCTGTGGTGCTCTAGATGCCACACGAATCTCTGTTGCTCCAGTTGTTGCTGCTTCAATTGTTGCTGCTCTAACCTCCTTTGCTCCTCCAACCTCCTTTGCTCCTCCAACCTCCTTTGCTCCTCCAACCTCCTTTGTTCCTCCAACCTTCTTTGCTCCTCCAATCTCCTTTGCTGCTCTCATTGTTGTTGCAACTGAAACCTCCTCTGTTCCTCTGCTTGAAAGTCATCTTGCTGAAGGTCAAAGACATGCTGGTGGAACTGAATAGGTGCAGGACCAGCTTGAGCATTGTCAAGTATAGGAGGGTTATGCAGGGTCCCTCTCTGTTGTCCTCTCCTATGCTGCTGATGGCAATTCTCATGATCATGCTCAAAGTTTGCCTGTAGTGCAGCTGCATAGTCAATGCAGGGCAGTGCATCAGCAACAGGAAATTGCTGGGGATGGGGTTGTGGATGATGTCCAAAGTATTGTACATCCATCCTTGGTTGTGGGGGAGGGGGGGATGTATGGTGTAGGTGTCACATGCATTGAGCTTCATGGTACCCAATAAGGTGTCATGGTATACCAGGATAATATTGGGCAACTGGGACAGGTGCATGATTCTGATTTCATATTTAATTTTTCATTGGTTAGCTTTGGTATGAAACTAGAGATGTACACATGTACACACCAAAAATCCAGCAGGCAGATCTGTTTCTGCAAAATTTGGTTGAGGTATGGGTGGATCTGGTACAACATGCAGAGGACAGCAACAATTGCATCTACTTGGGGATGTCATCTGAAGCCAATTGAGTCAGTCTTGCTCACACTCTGCAGCATGCTCCCTTTCTGGAGTATGGGGATCATTCCTAACCAAAGCCTTTAATTAGCTACATAGCTGAGAGTGTATTGTACACACTCACTCTCTTGCCATATTGTCCATTTGGGCAGCTTTTTATAAAAAATATGATAGGAATAGCAATTGTATGATGCAACCTTTGGACAATGTGCACATGCATCCCAATCAGCCCAACATAAATTGCAGCTCTCTCTCATGTATCACTCACTCCAGTATAAGGTTTTACTGTCCACAATTGTGCATTTTTGGGCATTTTGTGGACTTGTAAAAATTTTCAAGCCTTAGTGGCTGTGCCCCACTACACTTTTGGTAGGGACTTGATAGTCAAAAACGTGAACACTACACTACACCTATTAGGCAGGTAACCACACAACACAATGCTACACTTTTGGTAGTCACTTGATAGTCAAAAAAGTGGACACTACACTACACCTATTAGGCAGTCAACCACACAACAGAATGCTACACTTTTGGTAGTCACTTGATAGTCAAAAAAGCAGACACTACATTACACCTATTAGGCAGTCAACCACACAACACAATTGCTACACTTAGGGCAGTCACTTGATAGTCTAGTAGTCAAAAAAGCGGACATAATACTACACTTATTACCAGCATTCTATAGTACTGACAGCCTGTGGTTCAGAAAAGGCCAATTCGCAATTTTTAGCGGAGTTTGAATGGCTCTGCAGGAGTTTGAAATCATTGCCACATCCCCAGAACTCAGTATTGGACAACCATGGGAAAAGTCACACATGGTTTTCATCATACAAAAGCAGAAGTTTTATATTACTTAGCAAAATTAGTGAAATACATGAAATACTCAAAATACACAAAATACACAAAATAGTTGTCAAGAATCAGTGATTTTTTCATGTTCTCCCTTACAGCAACCTTCATATTGATAGACCAGAATTGACCAAAACTTACAATAGCACTTTTATTTAGTGTTGGAATGTAACCAAATAATGGTGTATGCCATCCCTTATTTGCATTACTGGGTGCATGCTATCCCTTCTTTGTATACTGGGGTGTTCTGCTGTGGTTCACATACTATATTGACAGACTATGGTAGTAGCATGCATGATTCAATCCCCCTCACTGATTGGTGGTACCTAGCATGCCTGGAAACCAACACCATATTCCTGATGCAGTGAAGGAGGAGTGGGTGAGGATGTCTACTTGCATAGGCTCAGGAGAGATTGCTCAGGTCACTGGTGCCAGCCAGCACACAGTCAACCAAGTTCTTCATCTGTCACATCTCACAGGTTCTGTGACAAAGAAACCCCTCAAATGTGGATGTCCTTGTTTGCTGACAGCACATGATGCTCATGTAGGTCATTCCAACCATTACCTACTAGATGCAACTGATTGATAATGCATTGCATTCATATAGTACCTTGTTGCATGTGTTGAGTGCACACCTAATATCTATACTTGTGAGCTGCAACATCTCCTCCAGGAATCCAGAGGTATCAAATTATCTGAGTCTACAATTGAATGCACTCTACATAGGCATGGGTTTTCTCACAAGTGTGTGTGTATGAGCAAGCAGTGACTGCATGCTGGTGGGAGTCCTGATGTTCATGGGGCTATTCTAGGTCTCACAGGTTGCATTGGAAAGAAATGAGTGTGCATGAGATGAATACCAAGTCTATGTTGCTGAAAACTACCATCCATCACAGCTTGTCTTTGTTGATGAGTCTGCATGTAACTGAATAACAACAAAACATCAATCTGCAACCCCCATCAACTACTGATAGATGCTGCATTCAGTGCAATCACACCAGACAAACTTCATGGGTGGTATGCTGACTGTGGATACTGATGGTCTTCACATCTGAATTACAAATATACTACCTTTGATTCCATATGTACTACTAATCATAGCTATCATACTTGTTCTTGAAAGTCACTGAAGTCTGCCTCCCCATACAATGAATGTACTGATGTACTACTACTAGTATCTATTCTATGTTGCATTCCAAAGCCTGCATAACAAGTCAATGATGTAGTGTTACAGGTGTCCACATCTTGGGGATGTCATGTCAAAATTAACACACTTCAGGTGTGTGTCCACACCACACTGAAGCATTTGAGTCCTCATTCTCTTTGTCACTGTCACTAGGATCAGCTGCCCTTTCTTTACCTTTCCTTGCCCTCCAAGCAAGTTGGCAAGCTACAGCAATGAAAGATCTAACTGCACCAAGAGGCATACCAACAACATCAACAAAAAAATCCTCCAAAATTCCACTAACTGTGTTCACATAGGCAATGCCATGGGAGATGAGGTTCTCCTCATACTGAGGCATGTTCAAAAGAGGCATTGACTTGTGCATCTGATGAAGGGCATCAGAGATTGATGGATAGACAGCAAAGACATCATCTTCATCAGGAGCTGGCCCAGTTAAGTATTGCATTGTGAGGCTTGGTTCTTGCCCTGAACAGCTGCCACTAAGTTGACCTGTGTTTGGGAGGTGGACATGGATGACAGGAGCACTTTGTGCAGCTGTAGATGACAACTGGCATCACTTACTAGGGGTATGGTTGAACAAGTTAGATTCAGGTGGGTGGTCATAAGTTGCATTTCCAGTAAACTTGAAGACAAGAAACATCAGCACATCATTACCATTTGGAATAGGGTTACATACAATGCCCTTTGCCCAAGATGTCAATTTGTAGACATCTTGTTTCATGTGATCACCATCAGTGGGTCAGATGTGGCAGTACTTGCCCACATGTTTTGCACACTTGAGGTGCTCCTTCAGCTTGTGGAACTCAGCAGCAAAGCTCATTGATGTTGCCAGCTCCTGGTTGTTGTCATTCTCAGAGCCCACCACTGCAGATGCCTGGGCTCCTTCATCTTGATGATGGCAAGTAGCTAATCCTGCTTTACTTGGTTTGCACTGGCAAATGAATGTGTCAGTTCCAGGCAAGTGACAGCCCCAGACAGATATATTTACAAGATTATGTATCTCAAGAACAACCTCCCACACCCAAGTGCATTTCAAAAGGTGACAACTATGTTCAAATGCTTCTGCAAGCTGTTGGGCATTGGAGAGCTGGCATGGAGGGTCATGAACATGGTCAGCATGATATTTGTAGCCCAGTTGAGCTTCCTTGGGATCAAGATCCATCTTTGCACAAATACAAGAGAAAAAATCCTCAAAGCTGGTGTTTACTGCAAATTGCAACTGGACATGGCTAACAGTTCCACCAACAAAACTAGTATTGAGTGGGATGGACACTGTGATTCAAAGGTTTCCTGCCATGCAAAAAAAATGAATTCACAACACACCAATAATTATTGGAGTAGTTACTTACCTTCTGCATTGTCTAGCTGACAAGGACTTGCCACCACTGAAGACATTGGCTGCAGAGATGAATAATGCACCCTTGGCTCATCACAATTACCCGATGAACCCACCATCTGTGCAGGGAATCAATATGGCTGTACAGAATAGCCCATTTGGCCAGGTGAGTCCAGAGGCAAGCAGGGGAGAGGGTGCACTCCACCCACACCACCAGCATCAGGCTGTGTCCCATGGATGAATGGATGTGTTGGTAATAGGTTGAGCCAGTAGCCCACACATGGAAAGCAATGGCATAGCACATCAGCACACTCACCAGAAGAAATCTGGGTATCCTGAGAGCTGGGGTTTGAGTCAGACATGTCAAAGATGGTAGGGAATGCTCATTCTATGATGTTGCTTTATACCATTCCACCACCCTCTGGATGGATCACAGACTCTTGTGGTCAGTGTCCGGCAGTCTGAAGTGTTCCCTGATCCTGCTTAGTTGTCAGCAGATCAAACAGCAGAATGGAGAGACACATGCATTCCGGCATCAGGAGAAGGGCCATATTGACTCGAAGGTTGGTGCACTATGATGCAAAGGATTCGAGAGTGGTCGTCGTACTCCTGCCCTGCACTGATTGATGGCGAACACTGCTGTCGAACAGTGAGCAGTTGGGCGCTTGAAACCAGGCTCGCAGCACTGCAGCAAGGCCCCAGCACAGCATCCACTCCTCCTACCATTATAGTAACACATCGGGCACATGATCCAACGGTATTTGTTTGGCTGCATTCTAAAACTAAATAAAAGCGCTATTGTAAGTTTTGGTCAATTCTGGTCTATTGATATGAAGGTCGCTGTAAATATATGACATGATATCTGTCTCGTGACGTGTCTAGAGACAGTCGCCGACAACAACACTGCCATCTGAATACGTGGACACCTTCCAATGCTAGGTCCATGGGTGATCCTGAAGGTACCGTTCTCGTTGTCATCCTAACGCCGAGGCTCGGGAAGATCGTTGTCGACATGCCCGGTAATCTCACTCCCATGCGTGCGGTTTGTCTTCTGTAAAGATGAAGAAGGTCAGAGTGCTTACGGAGTCTGAGTCCGTAAAACCGAACCACCTACGTTGTATGAAGAAAGGAAAGCAGCTGAGCCAGAAGACCAGTTACACTACTACTAAGGTACGTCGTAGGCCCCTTGTTCGTGCTAGTGCACAATATTGGCCCCTACACTAGTAGCATTATACGCAATACATTGATAAAAGGCCCCCCAACTCTCTCGGCGCCCTCACACCTCCGGGAGTGATCTCGCGCTAGCCCAAGTCAGCCTATATTTACCGTCTCAGTTACATCTATAGATTCTGCTCTTCGTGCACTACTTCGTCACTAGCATGAACGTTATCCCCAACTCTGCGAATGGTGGTGCGTCGATTCCGGCCGTTGCTTTTTCAGACTGCGCCATGATGCAAAGCATCCACAACTGTTTTGTTTCCAGGCGTGACTGAATAATACTAGGTAAGCGACCGTTTCTACAAACTACGTTCCTATACATAGGCACCAAGTACATGCGCCAAGAATTCATGGACAAGGTCTATCTACATGCCATCAACGCCCCCTCCTTCAAATTCCCCACCAGCCGTTTCGTGACACTTCACAACCAGGTCCCCGAGACCGACCTCGTCAAGCCGCCTACGCTCGACTCCAACGGCGACCCGTGCTTGATCGTCTGAAAGAACGGTGCGAAGGCGGGCATGACCCTCAGCAAGGCGAACAACGTTTGCTCCTTCACCCGCAACTACTTCAATGGCGTGTACAAGGAGTCGAGGGAGTGACCCGTGGTCCTCACAGACAAGACCTCGGGTGCATTCTCCGCCAAAGGGGACTCCGGTTCCTGCGTCACCGATGCCTTTGGCCGCTTCGGAGGCATTATCATTGGCGGTAGTGGCGTCACCGAAACCTCCGACATCACCTATGTCACCCCCATCTCCTTCATCACGAAGACCCTCCACGCCAGCAAGCGCTTCCAGCACGCCCACCTTGGCCCGATCCTCGCCTAGAAGATTTCAGCATATGCTCTCTCGTGGTATAATCCCGACGTCCGCTCCGAGTCATATTTGGTCACGTCTGGCCACCTCCGGACATGTCGAGTTTTCACTGGGTTTGAAAGTTGGTGTCAAAAGCTGTCATTTGGGACACGGTGTCTTATCACCAAAACGAATTGCCCCACCTAGGGGACTGTCCACGTCCCCAACTGTCTCCCAAAAGCTGACCATCGATCTGATCCATAATCTATGAAGTATCCTAGAGAATGTACATCACACGATATATTCGACTACGATTGCACGTTCAGAACAGGCCTAGTAAGTCCTCTTGAGGCCCGTGACCTGCATTAGGTGATCCGAGGGCATCAACACCTGGACCAAAACTGGCACCGCCGGGTGGAGGTGACGTTGTGCCACCCAACCCACCCAGCACTCCCTCCCCAATACTAACACCATCAAAACCAGGTCTATTTGCACCCGCACCTGCATGGGCACTGCTGGCGCTCATTCCTCCAAATATCGATACGAGATCATCCAACGGATTCGCAGACGTCCCTGAGAGGAAACTCGCCGTGGCAGGTGTAGAAGGCAGAATCCTTGTCGCAGCAAGCCCAGAAGGTTCTTCTTGAGCTGGTGCCTCGTCAAAATCGAGAAGGTTCTCCGCTTGTTGGCCAGCCACGACGGTTCTGAAAGCTTTCTGAGCGAAAGCGTGATCATCTGACAATCTATGCAAAGGACGGTGAAAGAAAGTGAGCTCACATAAACTACGGGGGAAAAGGGAACACATACTCTGTCCCTTTGCGCTGAACAGCGTCTGCGCCGATTCGCCCATGACCTATGAATGTTTCCGCCGGTTTGTGATATACACTTGCCAACGAGGATATCTCGCCAAGAAGCTCCTCAAGGAGAGCTGGGGATACCGTGGTGCGTGGAATAGAAATTGGTGGTCTATGAGCTAAAACGACGGCCTACGAAGGGTCGGTCAGTACTGAGCGAGCATTGAATTCACTGGTTGCATGCCTTTGCGGCTCCAGGATCTGTAGAGAGCAACCTCCAGTAAATGTAAGCCCGATCACGTACATCCGGCGAGTCGCAGTCCTTCGTGGCAGTGTCCAGCACGCGCTGTACAATTCCTTGTGACGAGTCAGGCTTTTTGAGGAACAGTTTGACCACCGCCGTCAAAGTCTGTAGTTGCACCTTTGTCATAGAAATGAGACGGGATGGTCAAGAGGACGGATGGAGACTGGATATACTTGGTATGATTCTTCTGTGAAGGTGTCGACGAATGTACCTAGAAGCTCGTCGGCGTTGTCGATCTTTTCTGCATATTCACCTATAATCCAGATAAGCGAAGCTTTTGCTTCTGGCTCGTCGAGTTCTTCTAGATTGGCGCATAGAGTAGGTATTACGCCTTCGTATGTAGAAGGATATTTCCGGAAGATATCCTGTCGCCATCATCAAAAACCATTGGCCAAGTTAGTACAACTTTTGCGGACCTTCATCACGACGACTGCTTCTTGAACCACGTAACTAACCCGCGTTCCGATCAGGTCCAGAAGTACATTAACACAGCGCTCTGCGGAACTTTCGATACTTATCGCGGTTTGTCCTATTGCTTTGATACTTTTTCGCACGAAATCAACATCGACTTCTGAAGCATACCTATTGAGCCGTCGTCAGATACAGGCGTCACGAGACAGAGAGAACACACACTCTTTCAATTCACTCAACAACGCGTCGACATTGTTATCATTTGCAAGGCGGACCATAATATCCAACTTCTCCACCTTGACGTATAATGGATCGTTATATTTACAAAAGAACACACGCATCTCGTTGGAAAGTAAGTCGGGCCGCTTCTGAAGGAGAAGGTTGACGTTCCTCAATGCGACCCATTGCACTTCCGGAGGAGAAGAAAGTAAAGTGACGAGTGGGGGTGCCATCTTTCGAACGAGCTGTTTGGTGAAATCTTCCCGACGGATACCTCGCATGTGAATCATAATAACCTGTGAAGTTGTGTCCAGCATGTTCCGTTGGAAACAAATCAGAAGTACGAAACCTTGACGGCGGCCAAGACCACACTCCCATTGGCATGCTGGAACTGGGGAACGACACGCTCACATATGTGCTCACTCTCTTTCTCATCTTGGGTTGTGTATCGCGAAAGAGCATTCAAGACAGCAACACGACCCCACTCCGTGCATTCGTTCAGCGCAATCAGAATTTTGTTCAGGATGTGTGGAGTGATGTTGAAGATGGCGGGGTCGGATGAGGGTACAGGCGGGTGGGCTGTGGACGCGATTTTGTGGATGTCTGTAAGCGCTGCGACGGTATTCGCGACGACCTGTCCGCTATTGCATCAGCAATCCCCACCAGGAAGGAGGGACAAATGTTCACCATGGGATTGCTGTCTGCAATCATCTCGTGCAGACGAGACAAGAACCCGTTGTCGATGACAAGCGAGGATTTCAGATCATATAGCTTGGCGACGCATAGAGCAGCAGTCTTCCGGACATAGGGATTCTCGTCCCTCAGTGCGCGATTCAATGGGTCACATAGATAATCAATGATCCTCTCGGCGCGCAAACACCCCATTGTACGTATCGCGAGTGCTCGGACGAGCGGATTAGGGTCTTCCGAGTCCTTGACGAAGGTGTTCACGGCCAGAATGACGAGCTCAGGTTGCGTCTTTGCATAATTCATGAGGTACAAATACACGAGTTTCTTCTGTTCCAGGTCTTCGGTCTGCATGTTCTTGAGCACGTCGGGAAAGAGACCGCTGACATCTACGGGACACGATGTTAGCCAGGGCGACTTCTGAGACGAGGACCGTACCCTTCCCGACTGTCATGGACGCTATGACCCGTTTAATGGCATCTTTTCGTTTATCGCGGTATTCGCTGTTGAGATCGACACTGAGCTCATAATTCTCGCCCTTCCTTGGTGCTCGGATACTCATGATCAGAGTGAAGGCGGCTTATGTAACATCCGCAGACCGACTTCGATGGTCGCCGCCATGACCGACGACGGAGGGGACAGACAGCTGTTGATTCTGTATGCTACAGAGACAGGGACAGCCCAGGAAACAGCAGATCGCATTGCAAGGGAATGTCGAAGAGCGTACTTCCAATGCCGTGTCTGCAGTGTGGGGACATACTCGCCCGTACGCATCTCAACTCACAGGAATGAAACGTCTCACTACAGGACGAAATGTGCAGGAAGATTTGATCTCAGAGACTTTCGTTTTGTTCGTTGTTGCTACGACGGGGTCAGGTGCTGAACCTCGCGCAATGACACCTCTGTGGAACCTGCTTCTCAGGTCGGATCTACCTCGCGACCTGTTCGAGGACTTAGATTTTTGTGTCTTTGGGCTGGGCGACTCGGCATACGAGAGATTTTGTTGGCCTGCAAAGAAGCTCTCTAGAAGACTGTTGGCTCTTGGAGCCCGCGAAGTCTGTCCAAGAGGTGAGGGCGACGACCAACACCGATTGGGGTAAGTCCTTCGTCTATCCATTTCTCGAATACCAAGGTTGCATTAGATTGGACGGCGCACTAGAGCCATGGATAGAACAGCTATTGGAAACGTTACTTCTTTTGTACCCCGAAGCTCGAGTCGTCGAAAAAAATCGCACTCTCGGTAAACCTCCGCCCCGTATCACCACAGGCGAATGTGGCTTCTGCGCCAGACACTCTCGAACCTTTCGAGGCTAATCGGAGCTACTTCGATGTGGCAGTGCGGTGCAACCGTCGAATCACGGCCGAAGGTTGGTTCCAGGATGTACGCCATTTCGAACTGGTTGCGGATCGAGATATCATGTGAGCCTTGTCACACTCAACGCATTCTCTCAAGTGACACGCGGAAGGTATGACCCTGGAGATGTGGCCGTGATCCATCCCACTGCGATGGACGCGGAAGTCGACAGTTTTATGGTAATGATGGGTTGGGCGAACGTCGCTGATGTGCCTTTCTCCATATCGCACAGTATGCTTGGTGCGTATCCTTTTTTCTATATGACTGTCATTATGTAAATGCCAGTTTCAAGACCAAACACTACCCGACGGCGTACCGCGCATTGCAACGCTTCGCATTCTTTTCACTTACCACCTCGACTTCAATGCCGTTCCGCGTCGATCATTTTTCCAGATACTTCGCCATTTCACAACAGACGACACTGAGCGCGAGAGACTGGACGAATTCCTTTCCACTGAGGGTGCGGTACGTCTAGTCGTGTGCACTGGAAAACGCACGCTCAAGACAGAAATTACAGGATGAACTGTACGAGTACTGCCAACTCGTCAAACGCACCATCCGCGAAATCCTCTCTGAATTCCGATCAACGCGCATACCACGAGACTACATCTTTGATGTCTTCCCTCCTCTCCGTCCTCGTCAATTCTCGATCGCAAGTTCTGTCAAAGTGGGTTATCTCCATCTCAATTAATTCTTGAATGAATTCAGGGCGTGATTGGCAGCGTCACCCCCGTGAAATCCACCTCTGCGTCGCAATCGTGAAATACCGTACGAAGCTCAAGATACCCAGGAGAGGCGTCTGTTCATCTTACCTCGCTGGCTTGAGACCTGGTACGTGTGGAACCATACATGTCGATGGCAAGGTTTCCGATCTCCACAGGTGACAAATTGCGGATAACAGTAGAGAAAGGGCTCATCAAGTTACCTGACGATCCTCATACACCTGTGATTTGCGTTGGCCCCGGAACTGGCGTCGCCCCCATGCGGGCGGTAATAGAGGACCGCGCAGATGCAGAATCTAACGGTAGGAAAGATACCACCTAAGTTTTCACCTTGACGTATCAGCACTTACACCACACACCCAGCCACGACACTTTACTTTGGCTGCCGTTCAACGTTCAAGGACCACCACTACGGCACTGAATGGGAAACATACGCGAAAAACAAACAGATCAAGTACCGCGTCGCATTCTCCCGGGACGGTCCCGAAGGAGCGAAAAGAATATATGTCCAAGACCTCATGCTTGAGGACAAAGATACGGTTTGGAATCTCCTCAATCACCAAAGAGGGACTCTCATCATTTCTGGGTACGGCGCATGCGTTTTCGTTCCATGTCTTGTCTGACGGGAACTGTAGATCATCCAACAAGATGCCTGCTGCTGTTCGCGGAGCCGTCGCCAACATCGCAGAAGATTGTGGAAAGATGCCGAAAGACGACGCGCTCAAGTTCGTTAATGAGATGGAGCGGGAGGGAAGACTGATCGAAGAATGTTGGAGTTAATGGAGTACTTCGCGACGCTCGTTTGCATCGTTTGTGCCACACAAAATCCCGTTTATGTCGCATGGATCGCAAGTCATTGCTTGTAATCGTCAATGGTGAGTGCGCGATCCATGCCACAGCTTGAACAGCGGTGAACTTCGAATGTTCCTGTTACATAAGTACCTACGCCGGGTAGGATGTTTGGTATGCGGTTTCCACAGACAGCGTGTCATGACCTACAACCAAATATACTCGAATTTTTGTCTGATTTCCTCGCAGGAAGTGGGTGGTGACCAGTAAATATGATCCGGGGCGGTCCAGCGCATCCACAGTGTACGTCCCTGGAATGCGGTACTGCAAGCCTTTACCTAATAATATGTAGCGCTCATCCAGCGCACGGCACCTTGCTTCGGTAAAGAGTTCCTGGCAGACCAAGTACTACAGGCACCTCTCGCAACCTTGATAATGATACCGTGGTAGGATGTGTCCAGTGGTTGTCTTAGAACGAGCATAGCGACTGTGGCCACAGAGACGATTTGTTTTTCAGTGGTGATTTGAATTTGCCATGTAGGGTACCCAAAAGTCGGACCATTCATATGTATTACAAAAACGACGGCGTAGAGTAATATAAGAGGGAATCGACGGCGCTGCACAACTCCTTCCTTCCTATTGTCATGGCTAGTAAACAGGTAAGATCACCTTTTGTCTGTTGCTTGAAGTTCTGAGACGTTATCGTTGTGCTGTCAGCTTGGTAAACTCAGACAGGTTAGCGTCTGCGTCATTGTATTATGATGCAGTTCACCCATTGTCGGTAATTAGTGGGCGGGAGAGAAGATATCGTCTCGTGACAAGTCCGTCGTCGCAGATGAATTCAAGGAACTCGAACATGACATCGAACTGCGGAAACAAGGCATATCGAGGTGTGTTCGTTTGTCATTCATGCTTCGATCCATGTCTGCGTGTCCGTCTCCGCTCTTGTCATTTCATCTCACTGACTTGTGCGTGGCACCTGTAGGCTGCAGGCAGCTGCTCAAATGTACCGTCATGTCCTGTCCAAGAAGAAGGCTTTGCCGGTGTCAGGAGAGAGCGATAAACTCATGCCCGTGGATGCACTCGGAATTGTGATGGTTGGTCACGGCGAGGAATTTGGAGAGGATTCTACCTTTGGTGCGTGGTCGTTCCAAGGTCTTCAACTTGCGACACGTTCATCGACTCATCAATCCTGGCTGCTAGGATCGTCACTCGTGAAGCTGGGCAGGGCCCAGTGCAAGATGGCCATGCTCCAAGAAGCCTTTGCTTTGACGCTCAACGACACATTTCTATCATCTTGCGAGCGCTTCTTGCAAGACATCAAAGATTATGAGCATCAACGGAAGAAATTGGAAAGCCGCAGGTATTACCATTCCCTCGGATATCGGGTCCCCGTTATGTAACTTGTCCCAAGGTCAAGCTACGACGCAGCTATCAGCAAGCTTGAGAAAATCAAGAACAGCAAGAAAGAGAAAGAAAGGGAACGTCGCGAGGCAGAAGATGAGCTGCAACGTTGCAGACTCCAATTGTACGTTCCAGTGTCTTCCTACCATCCTTGCACTAGGACTCATCATGATTCTCTCAGCGAAGAAACGTCTGAGGACGTTCGATCTCGCATGCACGGCATTCAGGAGAATGAGACACAGCAGCTTCATGAGTTGACTACGTTCCTCGACGTCCAATTCAATTTTGCGAAACAATGTGTTGAAGTCCTACAAGACGTCAAAGCAAACTGGTCCGATAAGTAGGTTATCGTCTCTCATTCCTTTGCGCTCGTTCCTCTAATTACATGTTGATCATAGCACGTCGACACACTCAAAATTCGAGTATATGAGGGCGGGCTTTCGTCTATCTCACCCATTCGAGGATAAATTCTCTACTACCCGCTCCACGCCATCATCGCACGCCTTCTCCTCGACCCATTCGGATGATTCTGACTGCGAAAGTCTCAACGACAGTCCTATACGTTGCAAGCCAACTCCAGACGGGAAACCCATTTCTCGTCCTGGATCCCGATCTTCGCGGAAGCGGTCTGACAGTGGCGTCACCGCGACAAGTCCTTCAGAGATTACGACTCCTAAGAGCAACAAACGGATGAGCGTAACTGGGTGGGCATCCAACGCGGTTAATTCTTTCGCCGGCCGAGGCAAAAAAGACAGAGATAACTTTGCCGCATTGACTAACAAGGACGAGTCTGACGACGCAGACAAAGACAGTCACGGCGGCCTATCTCGTCAGCCGAGCTCGAAATCGCTCTCGCGAAAATCTCCCAAGGCGAAAGGTGTGGACCTCAACAAGGAGTCCTCACCTAGGGTAGCTTCCCGTATATTGAAGCCGCCGTCGCAACAAGATCGGAGGCTTGTGAGGGCGTTGCATGATTTTACAGGCTCCTCCGATGAGTTGACATTCAGAGCGGGGGATGAGATTGTTGTTATTAATGAGGTTCTGGAAGACTGGTGGTTCGGTTTACTTAAGGACGGACGTAAGGGTCTTTTCCCTATGAACTATACCACGCCCATCACCATCTCCTCACGAGACACCAACCGAGCTGGGAATGGCTTTCACTCTGGCAGTGGCAGCTCTCTCGCACATTCGGACGACATTGAAGATGATGAAAGTATCAACCACTTCGCTCTGGACAATTCTATGGTGACCCCCAACTCAGCAACCAGTTTTGGCTTCGACGTGCATAGCATGACTAGTGCAACAGAGGACGACGAAGCCCAACGCCTGGTGCCTCCTCGCCCATCTAAAGAGGACATGTCCTTCGACATTCTTCCCCGTCTACCCGAGTCTTCGGCGCCATTCGTGCGGAGGCAAACTAGTCCGGTGGTTCTTTTCTCGTCGACCGCGAAGAAGATTCCGCCACCGCCGCCCCCTCGCAGGTCCACCGCTTCCCTACCACCTCCTCTCATTCCTGATCGTCCTTTCTTGTCGAAAGGGCGGCATCTGGCATCGTCCGAGGCGTCGAGTGCCTATCCCCCTCTACCCCCATTGCACGGTCCAGTGCATCTCACCCCCACATCCTCCATAACTAAGGGAGGGACAGGTCCCACAGTATCTCCATTCGACAGCATGACGGATTTATCCGTAGAGTGCACGACTGTTCGCTAGGTGTCGTATGAACCAAAGGGGATGCACGAGACTTGCCTTAAGACGCACCGAACGATGTCCTGACATCGGTTCTTGTTCCACCGAGTTTTGTGGACCGAGTATACGCTGGGATATCGTCTTTTGAGGCCTTTTCTAGACGGAAAATCGTTTACTCTCTAACCTATTGTGTATACGGACCAAACTAGGTGGTTCTGTGTTTAAACCTTGACTTGTGCCTTGAAGGATTTTGCACGTAGGTATGTACTATGTGCGCCACTGAAGTTACAAGACGCTTTCCTTAACCACCATGGCACGAAACAAGAAGCGTATCTCCATGTCATTGTATGCTCATACTGGGTCAGGAACACATCCATCACTTCGCACTTTTGGTGTCACCCAAGAACCCAACCGGAAATAACCTCAGTACTTGGCGGCTGCATGCGATGAACAGGCCAAACCCAGCTTATGCCACGCAGCAGGAGTGGCAATACAAACCTGCCATCGTTCCTGGTCGCACTACTCGGTTACTAGCCCTAGTCCTGCTCGGAAAGACACAGGGGAGTGGAGAGGATATTAGCAATATTTTGACTGCCGTGGAACTGGTTCAAGATGACCCATCTTGGACTTGTAAGGAATGGGTCTTTGGGGCCATCGAGGTAAGGAGTGTTCAAATCCCATGCACTGACGCATGCACACTGGTTCAATAAAGGAAACCTAGCTTCTTGTAACCCGCGGAATAATTGCCCGACCTCCAATCGAGCTTGGCAACCTTTACGGGTTTGCATCGAAACTTGCTGACTCGTTCAAGGAACGCCCCGTAGAACGACAAGCCTATTTCCCAGTACCAACTTGCGATAACACTGGCACCCTGATCACTTCTGAGGTTATATGAATCGTACACGGACTTGCGAACCTTGTCTGTCTCCTAACACGGTGAGACTTGATCCAGTGGACAACTGTTAGTCAGGAGAAACGACTTACGGTGTGAAGTTGACAGGAAACCCCAAAGCTGAATTTTCTAGACCCTGTCACCGAAATGAATTGGAGACCCAATAACGTGTCCAGAACTTGAAATGGAGAGTAAACTTTGGCTGGACCCGGGAGATATCCCAGGTTGTAGTCTGTTGACAAACATACATATCACCACGTACATGTGTCAGACTATCATAGTCGGGTATATACACCGCCAATGAGGTCTTCAACCTGCAGCTCCTCAGAATATACATCCATAATATTGTCCCGTGCATCAAGCCATGTCTGTGGTGATCGATAGCTGCTCACTGCCCACCGTGTATATTCCCAATATTCAGGATACCATCCTGCACATTCCCAATCAACAATTGCCACAACATTACCATTCTGGGCGAGCATATTTCTTGGGCAAATCCAAGTGAGCAAAGGCGATCCGATAGTGTCTTTGAGCCATAGCTTCGATTGATGGGAAGTATTGCCGGCACCGCTTCGAGATTGAGCAGGCAGTTGTGGCCAAAGTAAGTATGAAATTCTGCAACAGAGGAAAATGGCCCAAATGGACGATCATCCAAGCATATTCGAGGATAAAAGAGACCAGTCGAGTCCACTGCTTGAACACGACCAGGATGCGGGGTTCGAGAGACCGGAGCTGACCGATGAAGTCTCTCAACTGTGCGAAAATTGCTTTCTTCTGCACTTCGGTTAGCTTGTGCCAGACGTATGTCAATTCGGGAGCATGTAGTCCATCACAATGTAGGTTCGACCGTCGATGACGAAAACATCGTGCACACGAGGAACGGGGATATACGTATGGTGTGAGACAAATTCCATGCTTGCGGCCTCGGCGAAACGGGTGGCGGGATTGAATTTTACGACCGTTCGAAGTCCAAACCAGACATACTCCAGCGGAACCGAGGTTTTCGAATACACGTTTTCCGAGCCAGATGCGTAGGCGAGTTAGGTGGCGTTCAGAGCTGGTGACTACGCGCATTGGAAGGGTTGTACTCAGAAAGTACCCTGTACCATTAGAATCAGGGTGGTGCGATATAAAACAAGGGGAATTCCACACTGTAGCGCAGGGACAGCGCTGCTGAAACTGCAGCACAACCATAGTGGATCAGTATTTCGTGTGAGACAGAGCACGAGCAGTTCCATACTGAGCGCTTTATAGACATCTTCGTTCGCATCGCAAAGTTGGACAGTTGTTTGGCTTCTCATGTTATGATGGACCGGGAGACGATGCCTTCCAAAAATGATTTGGCAGAGAAAGCAGTCCAGCAGTCAGTCCTCCCGCTGTAGCAAACCCAACTCAACCAACCCCCGACACATCACGTGACTCAGTGTGACATGCTGGCGGCTTCCCTACATGGGAAGGTGAGCGACTTGAGCGAGGAAGTGGATGAAAAAAAAACTACTATGTACAGCTGTTGCAGTGTGAGGTGCGAGGACTCAGATTTTCATCTCGTCTTTTGTTTTCTAATTTATTGTCTCGCTTTTTAGATATATTTCCCTTTCGTTCTAGTCTTTCCCAGGTGCTTTTAGATCTAGTTACAGTATGTGTTTCTTCCCCCCTCTCGGGTCATGCACTGTGTCTCGCTTGTTTTCACACTGCGTCTCTCTCTTTTCGGCACGTTGATACTCCTTGACAATAGCTCCCTGTTAATACCTGTTTCGTCTAAATGTGCCCAGCGATTCAAGAGATATTCCATGTTTTGTAAGGAGGGCCACCCTTGAGGCTATGTCATCGTATCTCGTGCATCTCTGCGCCAGGTCTCTTGTGTGTGCCGTCACACATTCCCCCCACCGGCCCCTCTCTGGGGACATCTCATTCGTCCAATCCCGCACAGCGGTTGTCGAGATATGCCCATTTTTGTGTTCAGAAGGGCTATGAGGTGTTTTGGCGCATAATTCGTGATTGGGTGATCTGATCATTGTAATTTCTTTTTTCTGTGTGCATCTAGGTGTTCCCTACAGCCCTCTGGATGTTTCATGCTGGTTGCCCAAGTCATTGATGCTCAGGGGACTCCCCTCTGCCCCCAAGTGTACCTTGTGAAATTGCAAGTGTCGTATTTCGTCCGTTTTGTCGCCAGCCCTCTCGCTTTTGGTTGGGTGTGGTACTACTCATTGCGGGCTTTTGAATGGTATATTGGACGGTGTGCTTGCTGTAGTGGATCTGGAGATATGCTCTGTTTTGTAGTCAGAGGCACCTTCGGACAGTTTTGTGAATATCTTGGGGCTGGGTGCATGCATTTGCCCAGTTCTTTTTGCCCCGTGCTCCTCAAGTTCCCCTTCATTGTCTCCTCTAGTTTCACACTGTTTCGAGCACCCGTCGTTGTCTGGCATTCGCTACATCTCACCTGTTTCATTCGAGGATCTCATTTTTTTTTGGAGTCTTGTATTACTCTTCTGGGGCGTCCGAACAGTATATAATACATTGTGCTTGCTGTGGCAGATCCAGAGCTATTCCCCACGTTGCAATTGGTGATACCTATGGATTATTTTGCAAATATCTCGAGACTGAGTTTGCACATTCACACCATTCCTTTTCTGCCCTGTTCGCCACGTTCCCTTCTGCTATGTCCCCCGGCTTCTTGTCATTCCGAGTGCACGTACTAACCAAAATAATGCCGCCGGTAATGTCACGTGACATGTCGGGGGTTGGTTGAGCAAGGGGACTTTCCCGCTGTGATCCCTTTACTATTCACACATTTTGAGTATACACACTGCTCTATGTGATCTAGCCAAGCTACATATGAAGCTGGAAGCTCCAAGTTCGTGGCACATAACCTTTGTGTGCCTGTAACTGGTGTGTTGTTGCTCATTGTAAGCAGTCAGTTTGGACTAGTGCCGTTTCAAGTTTGAACCGCAAGTCAAACTGTGCTTTGCATGTGCTTACGACGCAGCCCCTCTAAAACGATCCACCCACTCACATGCAAAGGTGCTCGTAACAACTAAGCCTTTTTCTCTCTACTTTCCTTCCCCCCGTCCTTCCCGAGTACCTCTCCAAGCTTCAATCCCGTAGCGCTCTCAATCGCTTCCACAAGGCTCCTCGCGCTCTTCCCAACCGCTTCCTTCCCTTCCCTAGCACTCTCCCGTATCCGTTCTACCGTGATCTGTGTGTGTGCGACACCCGTCTGCCTCATTTCACCTACTCTCGGGGCGTACCGGCCCTCGAGTTCCTCTGCGTAGGAGCCGACACGGTGGGCAGTGCGCGGAAGGAAATAGGAGAACGCACCAAGGAGGGAGAGGGGCGGCAGGAGGAGCCGTGTTGGTAGGGTGCGGGAACGCGTGAATATGGAAGTTGTGAGTGCAGCTATACCAGTGTAAAGAAGCCCAGGGTTGAGTGGTTCCGTTGGGTCACGGAATGATTTGAGGCGAGCTGCCAGGCGGGACAATCAAGGAGTAGACAAGGGTACGAATTCTTTTTAAAAACAAAATGACCATGGAGAGGGACAAAGACCCACATTCGACCATGTTCTCCACGTGAATCCATTGATCTACGACGCCTTGTACGTTCGCACGCACGTCAGTGTAGTACCCACATACTTCCCTCCTTAATTGTCCGATCTGTAGTTCGAGTGGGGAAGGTGTGTCCAGGAGAATGAGTCCTCTGTTTGGTTTTGGGTATATGGGGAAGCTATCAAAAAATGGGGAGGGATCACGCGGTGTGAATGGTTGGACCTACTTTGTCCGGCAAGTTTATGTCGAGGACGTTCCTGGTCGAGTGCTCTGTCGAACGTACATCGTTGCCACCGGGAGAACTCTCTACAGGCTCGGAGTCAGTTTTCGTCTCAAATGTGAGTGCTCCAGCTACGCCGGATGCTGCGAGATACGCTGCACGGGAAGCACGCAACTGGTCGGGGATGGGGTGTATAAGAGACAGGCGCATTGCAGAACTCAATCTGCGTGAACTTACGGGTAGTATTCGTACCATGAGAACCGCGAGAGCTAAGGGCGGGCAGGCTCAGAGATGGTCTTAGATTGGGTGTACAATTGGAACGCTCAACGCACCCTTGGCAGCAGTTTTGGGCCTTCCCACGGCCTTTAGATATTTCCTTGACGCCCATCACGTGTACTTGAATCTTGCTAGCAACCCTTATAACTAGATTGTATTGCCAATGATGGCCCAAATGTTTATATCAAAGCCCTCCGGACGCTCCTGGGCGCATTTGGAAAAAGCACGCAGCAAATTAGGATGGTAGATAATGTATCTGTGGTTTGGTCAGTTGTGCTAAGTTTGGTCTCAGCAGGACACATGAGCAATTCTAAGGGATTTTGCTAATATGAGTTAGGGTCAAAGTAGGCTTGAGTAGCATTGTGTCATGAAAATAGCACAAACATGCAAATCATATGGTGGTATGAATTGTGCAAATGGATGGACAAGAACAAAAATACTGTGTATTACAGTAATAATAGTGGTGATGATGGTTGATACACAATCAAATAACAACATGTAGTGGAGGAGATGGGGATTCATATGAGGAAAACTGATGTGTGAATGGGAACCTAAGGAGATATACATGATATGCAAATCATGCAAGGAGATGAATTGCATGAATGGATAGATAAGGAATCTGACACACATGTGGGAGATGATGTTGTATATTCTGTCTTTCACATTATACTTTCATCTGTGTCTCACTTAGTATTATGGTATGCATTTAGCCATATTACATAATCACATTCATTTTCATACTTGAGTAGCATACTCATGCCTCAGTTGGCTACTTGACCCAACTGAGGTGAGCACTTTCCACATCCTGTTGTTACACTCTGCTAATAGTCCTGTAGTATATATTCTACAGGTTATGAGCCCTGGTGCTCACTAACTGGGAACTTGTAGCAACATGTCATTCACATCCAAGCTTGGAGACAATTTCCTTAAGGTCCCAAAGCTCTTGGCAGATGGAGAGAACTGGGTGACATACAAGGACAGGTTAATGTGGTCTTTGGACACTTGTGGGCTGCTCAGGTACATAGATGGTACTGAGACAATGCCAGTCAACCCCAAGACACTACCAAACCAGAGTGAGAGCTGGATACCTATCTCTGCAGAGGAGAAATGTTATGTTTCACCCTTGTTTACTCTTTTCCCTCACATTTGCCTTGTGTTTGATCCATTGGACTACTTTTCCTTTTTCAAGCCATCTTCTCATTGATCCAATGGCTCCTTACTTCCACCACTAGCGTTGTCCCCTCATTACATGTGTAGAACATGTGTCGCCATTGTTCAACCAATGGTGTAGTTATCTCATTACATGTGGATGCCTCATGGTCCATTTCTTGTACAGTATTTAGCCTGTCAGCTCAAGTCCTGGAAACCCAGACTTGAGCTGCTCAATCATATGCAGCATTCTCAGAACTTCACCCTCAGTGTCCCTAACCTGGACCACTCTTACTGGCATTGCCTCAAATCCTCTGTTGTTTACAGAGGTTACTGCAGCTGTTTGCTCAGTAGAAACCCATTGTCTGCATTTGAGCTCTCCCTACATCTTGACTTTGGTCGAGCATAACAAAAGCTCAAGTCTGCTAGCCTTTGGCAGAATTGGTCACTGTTTAGTGTACCACCATGAACCCCCAAAACAATCAATGTTGGGTGCTGTTGTGACCCACTCATGAAGAATCATTGTCTGATGAAGAACAGGAGAGCACTGTCACCAACACCTCCTCCAATGAACCTGAACAACCAGATAGAGGATTTACCTCAGGTATCCTCTTGAATCTCTTCACCCAGTCTCTCACTACACTTGGTACTCCCATCCCACCAGTACCCACCACCACTTCTCCTACACCTCCACCTTTACCACTGAATACAATGTCCAGTTCATTGTTGAAGGCAATGGTTGGCACTGTTGCCACCAAAGCCACTGAATTGAAGATTGGTGCTCCATCTAATTTTGATGGTGACCAGAAAAACACCATGAGTTGGCTGTACTCTGTACAGACCTATCTCCTGGTAAATGAAGAAATTTATGACAATGACACCAAAAAGGTTGTCTACACCTTGTCATATATGAAGAAAGGAGTTGCTCATTCATGGGCAGCTACCTTCCAGAAAACCTCTCTGGAAAAGAACCCCCTGAGTTTTGGCTCTTTTGCCAACTTCACAAAAGACTTTAAAAGCTCTTTCACCTCCTCCGACACTGCTGGTGCGGCTATCACCAAGTTGTGCACCATGAAACAGAAAGAATCAGTGGAACAATACATCACTGATTTCAGAACTGCTGCTGCTGACTCAACCATCATGGAAGACATCACATTGATCAAGTTCTTCTCACAAGGACTCAAACCCTTCATTGTGAACTGGATCCATATGATGGAAACCACTCCCACCAAGATCACTGAGTGGTATGCCCAAGCACAGAAGTTTGATGCCAAGTGGAGGAAAGTGAATGAACTTTCTGGAAAGAAAGAAAAGAGGATGTTCTACCCCAAGAACAACCTCATTGAAGAAAAAGATCCAAACACTATGGATATGGATGGAGTGAGACTCTCCAGAGAAGAAAGAGACTGTCACATCAAAGAAGGAAGATGTTTTGGTTGTGGAAACAAAGGACATGTCTCTCAAGAATGTCCTGAAAGAGGAAAAACCCCTCAGAAGAAAATAAAGAAGATCTGCAAAATTGTGGAAGTTGAAGAAAGTGTCAATGAAGAAAAAGTTGCTGGCCCATCTGTCACCCTGGTAAACATTGCCAGAGCACTTGGAAAGGGTTTTTAAAAGGGAACTCTGTGTTGATGCCAGAAGTTCCCAAAACTAAGGACAGTTCTGTTTCTGTTGCACCTGTACTAGTATCTTCCACTCCAGAATGTACTATGCAAATTTCGATTTCCCTATATGCATCAGAAACAGCTGAAAAAGTTGTCAAAACCACCACTCTGGTCAACTCCGGAGCAGAAATCTCTTGTATTGATTGGGGATTTGTACAAAAGTATCAAATCCCTACTCAATGCCTCACTGAACCCATCCTTGCAAAGAATGCAGATGGAACCCAGAACTCTAAGGGAAGGATCCTGTTCTCCACTACCCTTTATTTCAAGATTGAAGAGGTAGTCCACCAAACCTTCTTCCATGTCATCAACTGTGGAATGGAAAATGTCATCCTGGGTCTCCCTTGGCTCCAGGAGAACAACCCCATCGTCAACTGGAGAATGGGAACCCTTTCCATTGATGAAAAGACTGATAGGTCAAAAGAATGTAGATGAAGCATCTCCTCCATTATAACAGCCCCTGGGGGAATTATAATTACAAACTCCCGACCATAATTTGGGGGAAATAATGCTGGGAGTCGATAGATATGTCCATTGGGATGTCTCAGGTGAAATTTGAATGAAATTGGCGGTCGGAAAAAAAATCTACAGGGGGTAGAAGGATGGTCAGACCACAAAGTGGTATCTCTTTGGAAATACTTCTGGGAGGCTGGAAATCATTTCCATTGTCTTCAGTGGCATTGATAACACCCAGGACATCCATCCCTAGCAAGCTGGCACCCCCTCCTGATGTTACTGGATCGCCATCCCTGGGGTATGAGGAGGGGATCAGGTATGTTGATGAAACAAATATGGGGACCTTTGTAACACAATTCTGATGGTCTTGTAATGTCATACCCATGGGGTAGACATGATTCAGATAGCTAGATCAATCTCTGAAATTGTTTTGATGGAGTGAACATGGGGAGGGCAGGGTAACATATCTTACATGGATATTCTGACACCTAGAAATGCTGCAACCATTGTCATCATCCATTGTGACTTTCAGGCCCTCCAGGACAACCATTCCTGACAAGCTTTCATGCTTGCTAAACTTTACAGGATTAGCACCCCCAGGATAAGAGGAGGGGAATGAGACATAGGGTCCTTTCTGGTGTGATCCAAATTGTCCTGCCATGTCATTCGAGTGGCACAGACATGGTATGGACAGCTGGATTGATCTGGAATTGTTTTGATGGAGCAAAGCTGAAGAGGGGGGTTCACATTTGGGCCAGGTATCATCCCAAGATGCCAAACATGTTGCTACCTGATCAGACTACACTAGGCAACACTGGGATTCAGTTCCACAGGAATGGGAACCACAATCTATATCAACAAAGGTCTGGTTCAGAGTCCAACTCTGAATGGCATCTTCCAAAGATGTTGGCTCTGGCTTTCCCTCTGAACCTCTCAGCCAAGTTGCATCCAACTGGATCCAAAGCTGACAGGTAAACAGAATGAAAAGTTTCCCAACCACTGGCCCCAGACTGGACAGTTGGGCTGACCACTTCCAGTCCTGCATGATCAACCAAGGCTGCAGTTGGATGGTCCTTGACAATTTGGCCCATGTCAGTCTGCTGCTAATGGGAAATTGTTTGCAAACACCAGCAAACATCGAGCCAGCACCATGGCCTCTGTCCAAATTGACTGTGACAGCCTGTCACTCATTTTGGAGCAGATGGAACATCATTTGCAGCCTCTGGTAGGTCAATCGACTTTCATGTAATCCAAATAAATTACATTGGATATTCTATCAGTGTGCCCACCCGACCACCCCTGCTGAGACCATGCTGCACCACTTGAAATGGTGTTCATACCATGGAAACCTCTTCCCCTGCTCTCAGGTTGATAGGTACAGGTCCATACAATATGGGGAATGACAGACAACACAGATGAACACCAGCAAACATCAACCCCTTACCAAAGCCCCTATCCAGACCATGTCCAAATGCTGGGAGACCCTGGGACCTGGTTCAAGCACATTGATCATCATTCCCAGATTCCTGTATGTCTATATTACTGCATGTATTACAATGAAATAGAGAATCTACATCAGATAGTATACCAGTATGCCCACTGGATCACCCTGCCTTGGAGCATGCTGGCCCACTTGGAATGGTGTTCATCCATACAGGCCCACTTGCATGGGTCTTGTAGTACCATGTCCTGGTCCGTCCACCATGACAAACACTGATGAACATGTGCAAACATTTGTGAATATCAGTCCAGCATGGATGGCCCTGAGTAAACATACTGGAGCACTTGTTTACTTGTTTGGAATGCATTAATCAGCTTTTCCAGACTCCCCTAGGTCGATTGCATGTCTGGTAATACAAATAAAATACATCAGATAACATATCAATGTTCCTGTCTGACCACTCTCCCTCATGGCATGCTGGACCATTTGAAGTGGTGTTTGTCCCTCCTAGATCAATTGCAATTGACCTTGCTAGGACATTTACAGGTCCATACAGCCAGACGAACACCAATGAACACCAATGAACATCACTCCAGAAGCAATGCCCCTGTCCACATTGACTGGGACACCCTGCGACTTGTGTGGAATGCATTAATCACTTTTCCCAGACTCTCCTAGGTCTATTGCATGTCTGGTAATACAACCAAAATACATCTTATAACATTCTGATGTTCCCATCTGACCACTCCCCCTTGGAGCATGCTGGGCTGCTTGACGTGGTGTTCATCCCCCCTAGCTCAATTGCAATTGACCTGTTCTGAACATGTCTAGGTCTGTACAGCAGGGCGAACACCAACACACACCTGAAGAACACTGTTCCAGAACCAAAGCCCCTGTCCACATTGACTAGGGACACCCTGTGACTTGTTTAGAGTGTGCTAACCATCTTTGCCTGACTCTCCTATGTCAATTGCATGTCTTGTAATACAACCTACATACATGATATAACATACCAATGATCCTGTCTGACCACTCCCCATCATGGCATGCTGGACCCTTGAAGTGGTGTTTGTCCCCCCTAGGACCACCAAAGTCGACCTAATTTGGACATCCACAGGTCCATACAGCAGGACGAACACTGACGAACACTGACGAACACCAATGAACATTGATCCAGAACCGAAGCTCCTGTCCACATTGACAGGGACACCTGGAGACCTGTTCTGAGTGTACTAACCATCTTTGCCTGACTCACCTATGTCTATTGCATGTCTGCATGTCTGGTAATACAACTAAAATACATCTTAAGACATACCAATGTTCCCATCTGACCACTCCTCCTCAGAGCATGCCGGATCACTTGAAGTGGTGTTCGTCCCCCCTCGGACCACCTCAATCGACCTAATTTGGACATCCACAGGTCCATACAGCAGGACGAACCCCATCGAACACCAATGAACACCAACAAACAGCAACAAACACCAATGAACATTGATCAAGCACCAAAGCCCCTGTCCACATTGACTGGGACACCCTGTGACTTGTTTAGAGTGCACTAACCATTATTCCCTGACTCTCCTATGTCAATTGCATATCTGGTAATACAACCTACATACATGATATAACATACCAATGATCCTGTCTGACCACTCCCCATCATGGCGCACTGGACCCCTTGAAGTGGTGTTCGTCCCCCCTAGGACCACTGCAATCGACCTAATTTGGACATCCACAGGTCCATACAGCAGCACGAACCCCATCGAACACCAACGAACAGCAACAAACACAAACAAATACCAATGAACATTGATCCAGAACTGAAGCCCCTGTCCACATTGACTTGGACACCCTGCAACTTGTGTAGAGTGCACTAACTATCTTTCCCCAACTCTGCTATGTCTATTGCATGTCTGGTAATACAACTAAAATACATCTTAAAACATACCAATGTTCCCATCTGACCACTCCTCCTCAGAGCATGCCGGATCACTTGAAGTGGTGTTCGTCCCCCCTCAGGACCACCTCAATCGACCTAATTGGGTCATCCACATGTCCATACAGCAGGACGAACCCCATCGAACACCAAAGAACAGCAACCCACACCAATGAACATTGATCCAGAACCGAAGCCCCTGTCCACATTGATTGGGACACCCTGCAAATTGTTTAGAGTGCACTAACTATCTTTCCCTGACTCTCCTATGTCTATTGCATGTCTGGT